GTTTAAAGTTTGGAACCAGGAAAACGGTTACAGAAGCTGGAGAATTGTTCTTGACAGATATTTGTGGGCCATTTGATCAGTCATTTAGGAAATACCGTTACTTTGCAATCTTCAAAGATGCCTACACCAAATTTCGATACTGTTTTTTCTTAAAGCACAAATCAGAAGTAAAAGATGTGCTTGAAAATTTCATAGCTCACGCTAAGAACTTAGGGCATACGGTTAAAGAAATGCTCAGTGACAATGGTGGAGAATTTGACAACCAAGCCGTTCGCAAGATCTTGAACAAGCATGGAATCTCCCAAAGGCTCACAGCTCCATATACACCAGAACAAAATGCTGAACAAGTGCTGAACGAGAGAACAGAACAGTCCTAGAAATGGCCAGAACTCTCAAATACTCGAATGAGGAAGTGGACTTTCCAGCTTTCCTATGGGCAGAGTTCGTCAGTACTTCAATTTATATATTGAATAGGACAGGCAAGTCTTCAGTTCCTAATTCAAGCTCTTATGAATTATGGATGGGAAAGAAACCCAGAATAAAACACATGCGCATCATTGGATCGACTTGCTATACTCATATCCCAGTTCAGAAGAGGAGAAAGATGGACAAAAGGGCAACTAAAGGCTATCTCCTTGGGTATGATGGAGATGAAAGGTACCGCATTTACATCAAAGAAACCAGTACAGTAATCTGTTCCCGAGATGCCACATTTGAAGAGAAACTTTCCATGACTGGAAACATTATAACATTGCACCCACAACACGTTTCTGGAAGAAATTCAACTCAAGATGATGAAGTTGAAAATAAAGTAATAGACGAAGGCCCTCAACAGGAAAAGAAGGAGGTGGAGGATATACCGGAAAAGGAGACTCGACCCAGAAGACAAATTTCAGCGCGTAAGTGAACAAAGGATTATATCATATTATATCATGGAAAATTCAGCGATTTATGAAGAAAATCCTCCAGAAATAAATGGAATTACAAGTGGAATGCAATGCAGCTGACAATCCGAGAAACAGAAATATGAAGGCTCAACACCCAAGAAAGCTTTCCAGAATGATCCTGAAACTTTAGAAGAGGCATTAACTAGTCCAGACGCAGAAAAATGGAAGTCAGCCAAAGAAGAAGAGTTGGAAAATTTAAAACGAAATGAAACTTGGGACATAGTGCCTAGGCCAGAGGGAAGGAAAGTTGTGAAATGTAAGTGGGTCTTCAAGAGAAAACTTAACAAAGATGGACAAGTGGAAAGATATAAAGCTCGTTTAGTTGCTCGTGGCTACACCCAAGTCGAAGGAATTGACTACAAAGAGACGTTTTCTCCTGTAATAAAAACAAAATCACTTAGAACTTTATTAGCATTCTCAATTGAGCAAGACTGGCAGGTTCATCAACTTGATATTACTGCAGCCTATTTAAATGGAAGACTGAGTGAGAAAATTTTCATGGAACAGCCACCCGTGAGTCTGCATGAGAAAACACACAGAGAAGTTTGCTTGCTAAAGAGAAGCCTTTATGGACTTCATCAGTCTGGGAGAGAATGCAATATGTGCCTCGATAAATTTCTGAAATCAACGAGCCTAACAAGATCCAGAGCAGATCCTGTTTTGTGTTTACTTCAATAAAGAAAAGGAGTTAATTGTAGGTGTGTATGTGGATGATCTTCTTGTAATGTCCAGCAAAGAATTCATCATTCAGGAATTTAAGGATAATATTGCAGCTACATTTAAAATCAAGGACTTGGGAGAAATACATCACCTTCTTTCAATTAGGATAAGCAGAAGGGAAGATAGCTGTGTGACTCTTGACCGAAGTGTCTATGCTATAGTGAACTCTTGGAAACAACCAATATGCAAGATGCTAAAGGAGCATCAAACACCATTAGATCCAGGTATGAAATATACAACAGCCACTAAGGATAACATGTTGAATGCTGAAGGAGCATTAAAATATAGGAAGGCTGTTGGAGGGCTCTTGTACCTAGCAGGAGGAACAATGCCAGATTTAGCTTTTGCTACTACTTACATGAGCCAATTCAATAATTGCCCAAGCAAGGAACATTGGGCTGGTGTACAACATATCCTTCGTTACCTAAAACAGACCAAGGAATTAAAGCTGATTTTCCAAAAGACAGGAAAGAATTTGGAAGTGTTTTGTGATTCTGATTGGGCTGGTGATAAGATTGACAGATGATCATTTAGTGGCTGTGTGGTGCTACTAGCAGGTGTAGCTGACTCATGGAGCAGTAAGAAACAACAGACGACTGCATTGTCAACAGTTGAAGCTGAATACCTCTCAATGTGCCACGCAGCCAAGGAAGTACTGTGGTTCCAAAATTTTTTTCAAGAAATTGTGGGAGAGAAACATTTTTTTAAACTTTCCACAAAGCATATTTGTTGATAATCAGGTGCCATTTCTTTAGCCAAAAGCCATGTCACTTCAGAGCGTAACAACATATTGAAACTCAGGCATTTTTTCTTGAGAGAAAAGGTTGAAAAGAAGTTGTTAAACTTTACGTATGTGCCTCCCAGTTCAAATGCAGCAGACATGTTCACAAAGAGTGTGCAAAAGAAAGCCTTGTTCAATCAAAGGTTCTGTGTAGGACTGAGGGAAATTTAATCAAGGGGGAGTGTTGCAAATAACTTTTATTTGTGATTATATTTCCAATTTGTATTTTACAACATGTGTGGCAACACGCTTTTTAAATTTTTCTCTTGGCAACGTTTTTTTTTAGTTGTTGTCACTGTTTTACTTTACCATGTAGAATTTACTGTACTTGCGCCATTTTGTGTTTCAATATATGTTAATTTAGATGAATCTCTGCTTATTTATTTGTCTCCATTCCTAACGTTAGACTTCATCATCATCAACTGTATTACTGACGGTTTCAATTGTAATTTCCCTACCGGAGCCATTTTCTTTGATATTGCGAAAGTATTTGATAGGGTATGACATCGAGGACTTATATACAAACTTATCAAGTTAAACTTCCCCGATCATTGTATTAGACTTATTGCTTCCTATCTCCAAGAAAGAATCTGTGCAGAGAAAACTGGCAGTTCTGTTTCTTGCCTGAAAACATAATCGCTGGAGTGCCCCAAGGATCTGTTCTTTCTCCTCATATTTATATAACATTTACATTTACGATATTCCTAAGGACCCACAAATTACCAATGCTCTTTTCGCTGATGATACTGCGATTATGACCCAAGCTTCTACTGTTACTGTTGTCCAGCTCTTTCTTCTCATTCAACATTACCTGAATCATCTAGAAAAATTGGCTCACTCTTTGGAGGATTGCAGTTAATACTGAAAAATCAAAAGCAATATTTTTTCGCAAAGTCCAAACAAATTTCACTTCATCTAGACCTATTCTGTTTGATGAAAAAATTGACTGGGTTGACGAAGTTAAATATCTAGGAGTCGTTCTTGACAAAAAATTAACTTTTCAGAAACATCTCAGGAAAACTGTGAAAAAAATTAATATCACGCTTGCAACTATGCCCCACTTCTTGGCAAAAGAAGTCATATGCCCACTTCTAATAAACTCCTGTTATATAAATCTATACTTCGACCAGCATTACTCTATGCTAGTTCTTTCTGGGGCCACACTGCCAAAACTCACCTTTAACACATCCAAGTTCTTCAAAACAAAGCACTCAGAGAGATTATCAACGCGCCATGGCTCATTCCAAATTCGTGTATCCATCGTGATCCACCGTGAAGTAGATACAGTTCAAGATTATATTCAGAAACTTGCCAGAAACTTCTATTCAGTTCTCACTTATCCTAACAACTGCATCAACTCTCTTAGATGTTCTAATCAATGAACATCATTTCCCAGAGAAAAGCACAAATATCTATCGGACATTCTCCATCCTTAACATTTTTCACTCATACTAGATTCTTCAGTTCATTGATTTGGACCTTCGACCAGAAACTCACCTTTTTCGTCGACTGATGGCGACCACCTGACTTTTACTTTTGTCTTTTTGTTTTACCCACGTTCTTCACGTGATACAGAGTAAAAGGAGGCACTGCTTTCTGAAACTCAAATTCTTCTTAGTAGTTCTTAGTAGTAGTAGTAGGACTTTTGTCATTCCTCAGCATTTTAGATGCATCTTTCCTACTTTGCAGTTAAATTCGAAAGTAACTATTTGCTACTCGATGGCGGTAAGTCACCACAGACCAGGTACTCCGATATTTGGACTACTTAAAGAAGCACAAGGCTCTGCACAAGTGGTATTTTTTGTTTCCTATATTTAGGTAAATCTTTTGGAAAGTTTGCAGAAGCACTGCAGTGGGAAATCACTAGCATTGGACCAGGGTGATCACTTTTAATACTTTCTGGCAAGACAAATTTATTCGCTGTCATAAATTCATTGCACTTCTCGAAGAATAAGCCTTTGACGTGGGTGTGGAGGCTTTTCTCTCCTTAAAAGTCTCAAAGGGTTTGTTTCCCAGGGAAAGAGAAGCACGCTTTCATAAATGAGAATCGATTTTTTAAGTATATTTATTATTAAAATTATATATATCTTCTGAAATTGCGGTTCATTTACATAAAAGAAATGCGCCTTTTAATTAGGGCTTCGGTGCTCAACAACTGGGAAATACCAGAGAGGAGCTCCGGTGGGCTCTGGGCGAGGCAAAGAATTCTTTGGGCGAGGGGCGTTGACTCTGATGCAGTTTAAGCTATGTATAAGAGTAGTAGTAATCAGATTGACAAGTAAATAAGCATATTTCTGCCTTTTATTAAGAACGCGATAAAACTTACTTTTTTTCATCAAAATGATGGGAAGGTGAATGTTTTTGTTTAGCCAATGTTGAACTTCAAATGATAAAATTCTGTCAAAGTTCTGACTAGCCGTTGTATATTAATAAAATACCAAGAAATTTTTTCCAAGGATAATTTGAGACTCTGAAACTTTTATTTTTAATTATAATTTTCAATAGCGAAAAGTAAAAAATTTTTGTTTATTTCTGAATTCCGTAAACTAACCAAGGTCAAGGTTATTAATGAGAAAGTAAGCAGTGTATGTCAACAGTGAGGAATGCGCTATAGCTAAATTGTGTTATTATAAATACGAATTTTTGTTTTATTTTTCAGACTTAAAGTTTTATAAAAATCATTATTATTAACCTTATTATTCACTACCTGTACATCTTTTCAATGCAAACAACTTTGTAAATACTTTGATTCTCCGTGATACTCCTAATCAGAGTTTGATCACTCTCGATATCCAATCAAAATATATTTGCGCTAAAATGAGTTTTCTTGTGCATTTAGTGTTCGGAAAGTGCAAGGGAAATTTTTCTGATTTCTGTAAAAATTAAATTATAACAATGGATTGAGAGTAACGAATGAAACCATTTTTATGCAGATTCCTTCAATAAAATTTCTCTGGCATAGGAGGAAGTTGTAAGTGTTATATAGTATTTTGCTCTTTTCATTCTGTTCTTTTCGAAGATTGGTACTAATATAGAAAAAAGTGATTAATATTCTAATATGCCATTACATTTTTCTCTCAACACACATACATAAATCTGAAATATATTACTGAATATTTCGGGCAAGCATTTGAATATCCAAAATTTAGACATCACTTTTGCGCAGGAACATGCGCGTAAATTGATACTGTGCCTTAGAGTTTACCTTTAGGTAATTATGAAAATGTATTTAAGCATTTTGCAAAAGAACATTCAGTAAAAATATCATGCAATAAAATTATATTTTAATAATTATTTTATAAATTCAAGAGCTAATTTAGAAACATTTTCAGCATTTAGGGAATTATTAAAATTCCGAATTTATAAATTCACTTTAAAAGTTAGATGACATTCATAAAAGTTTATAGTAATGCCTTTCAAAAAGCTCATGATGTACACACACACACACACATATATATAAAGGGCCTTTTTTAAATTTCAGTGTAAATAATCATAGTCTTTTTGCCAGTCTGACAAGTTTGGATATACCTTAAAAAATGTTAAGTAATTAACAGGTTATTCAGTTCTGTGTTAGGCATATGGTAGCTTTATGTATCGACTATTTTTCAGTAATGTCTGATGCAGTATCACTATACTGTGTTCATATGTCTAAAATGATTTAACTAAAGAACATTTGGTAAAAGTATATTTACGGGTATTCCTATGGCAATTTTTGGCAGTACATGGATACTAAGTTTGTGCAGTTCTTTGACTTGTTATTTAGGCTTTGTGTAGTGGCGATTTTAGCACAAAAAATCACCGCTACACAAAGACAAAATAAAAAATCAAAGAATTGCACAAACTCGGTATTCATGTACACATTGACCAATTTTCACTTAAAAAAAAAAGTGACAGAGTTGTACAAATTTGGCATTGCACACTCCCTTAGCTTTATCCATGTATATGTTGACCTATTTTCACTTAAAAAAACACCAGAGAATTGCACAAACTTGGCATTGTGCACTCCTTTAACCACCCAATTTTAACTATGCAAATATCTTGATGTGTACACTTAAAAAGTCAAAGGAGCACACAATTTTAGGTAAAAAAGTATATTTATGGAACATTTAACTACTCAGGTTACCATAAATGAGACAACAACTTTGCGATAATACAAGGGGTACCCTTCAGTCTACTCTAACCAGAACATTTATTATGTTCGTAGAATTTGTCATGTTACAAATGTAGACAATTTTAATTTGTCTACATAATCTGTTTTTAATAATCTTTTCTTTACTGTTAAAACTTCCAAAGCCAGATATGTCAGTATATGTAATTTCATTAGTCATTCCAACAAACCATATTAACAGTCAAGTTATCAAAGTTTTTTTTTTTCTTCATTTTTTTTTCTTTTTTTATATAATGCAGAAATAATTATACTTTTGTTAATAAACTTGAGAGAAAGATGAAAATGTGTTACAAATGTCACTGCAATTATTAATTTTTGAGAGACATATTTTAGAAATCATGTTACATTGTTCTTTAAAAAGTATCTTTTGATACTTGATATTTTAAAATTTCTTAGCTATAGGATATGCCTAAAACCTTCACCTTCTCTGTGTGTAGAAGAAGTTTCTCAAATTTTCATGTTATAAATTAATTGGAGCAGCTGAGCGGTAAAGTCGCTGAACACTGGTAGTTCGGTCCGAGGTTCGAATCCCGCGAACGGGCTGGCTGCATGGGTGTTTTCGTGGTTTTCCCCATGTGTAACGTGTATACGAGCCAGTTTCCCTTAGAAAGCCCTCCACGAAGGCATCTCTTCCCTTAGGCAGATAGCCCTAGTGTGCTTTGCCATAATTAAATACACCACACCACCATAAATTAATTGAAAATATTCATCTTCTGTGTGCATAGAAGAAATTTCTCACAATTTCAAATAAATTAATTGGATTACTTCCCAAATTTGATCTCTTATGTAATTTGTATATATAAAAGATTATCAAATGTAATTTCTTGTTTCTAATTCATATAAAAAATTGAGTGTGTCTAAATTGGATAAAAAAATTTCTATTATGACCTATTTAGGGGGTCAGGTTGCATAAATGCAGTTTGATGAAAGCCAAGCAGGGTCTATTGATCATCTATGCCCAGCCTAAGGTCTCAGATTTTGGAAGAACCCCCCAGTGTCCTCATAATACTGGTTTTGCCTTTTGAAAACTATGTAAATAGATGCCATAGGTCCTCATAATCCTGGTTTTGCATTTTAAAAACTATGTAAATAGATATTGGAGAAAAACGTTGTGCCCAGGTTGCCCTTAAAAACATTGTGCCCAAGGTTGCAAACTGACTTAACTAAGACAGCGTATGTCAGATTATTACTGTATAATTATTCCATAGAAAAAGCTTCACATTTTGCATAATTGTGCAAGGAATTTTTGCTTTCAGCAGATATATTCTTTATGCATTTTAGGTGCTAGAATTTTAACTTTATTTGCCTTTCACTTGATAACATTCAAATTTCTACTTTTTACCTCCATACAAAATGACATAAGACCCAGTCAGTGGCGGATTAGCCAAAGAAATCGGCCTTAAGGCCCCCATATGGAATGTCATTATACATATAAGTTATCATTGTCATCATCATCATTATCATAAAAAACAATTTTATAAAATAAAAATATACCTTTGCAGAAAAGCAACACTTTATTTCATATACATTATATATAGTATATAACAATAAATAACAGCATCTAAATAATTATTTACACAAAACAATGGTTAATTCATAATTAGCCATTTAAATATTTTTTAATTCCAGGTGCCTGGGCAAATATTTCCTCCATTATATATTTCCTCCTTATAATTTTTGCTTTAACCAAAATATCCTTCTCTATGTTCATCAATAGCAGTGACTCCAAATTAGCTTGCTTCATAGTTCTCCTTAATCTACTTTTTACAATTTTTAATTTTGAAAAAGCTCTTTCGCATTCAACTTGCATTATAGATAGGGTGAGTACAAATTTATAAGCAAAAAAGACATTGACATAAGCATTACTATATAAATTATATTTCAAGAGTAATTTATATACAGACAAGAAGCAATTTTTTCAAAAATTGTATTATAGCTTTGGGTGAATGCTCATTAATAGATAGAGCACTCTTTCCTTCTGACTCGGTACCAGATTTAAAATAATGATTTTCAATTTAATTTTTTAGTATTTCCCATGTAATTACTAGGTCCTGATATTCATCCTTAAGATTATCAATTATTACACCTGCATAGTGCCATAATAATATAGATAAATAGTCGAAAGAGTTTGGCGACGATGGCTTCGACAAGTTTTTGGGATCGAGAAGTGATATGTCTTTATACAACTTCCTTGCCTTTTAAACCTACTTTACATCAATGAAATGATGTTATCCATTATAACATTAGAGACAGTAACTTTGAATTGTTTGATAGGGCAACTGAAATTATAACTGGACAATTCTTCGTCGTCCATTTGTTTCACTTTTTGGCATCTTCTAGCAGAGTAGTTCTTCTTCTATAATTGTATCACAACCCAGCCTTTCTAGTTTATAATTGCAATCTGTTGCAAATGATTTTGATGCGTTAAATATTAAATCAAAGTTTCTAGAAATGGTTTTTAAAGAGCTTGTAGCCTCCTTAAAAATATTCTATGCTACAATGTAATCTAATCCTTTAGTCTGCAAACTGGCTTAGTATATTGAAATATTTTAAATGTATGTGAGCAGACAAAATTATTCTAAAAGTTGATATTTTATTCAAAATAGATTTTGCCATTTTTCGTATCTGTTCATTCTGTATATCATTGGAAGATATATTTTTGAGTGAATGTATTAACTGTACGCACATTCCCTCATGCGGAGGGTTGTCTCGCTGAATCATCTGTGTTGATTCGATCTTTCCAGTTCCTTGATCAGCCGAAATCGCTCCAGCCTACCAGGCATCTGCCTAGTTGCCCGCCGCCCCTATTTGCGATTGGACCCAGTGCATTTAAAAACAGTTTGCAAATAACACATCAAGCATACATAAATTTTGATGAATCATGGAATATTCTTTTAACAGCAACAACAACAACAAAAAAAAAAAAAAAAAAAAAAAAAAAAACAAATGAAAGGATTCAGATTTTAAATTGCGCCCAAAGGGGCTTTTTTTTAATGTTTTGTGTTTTACCTTTATTAAACAACATGTTCTTTGCACATAAACCATGAAATTCAGTTCAACAGCAATATCGCAAAATAATTTAAAAATGGGCATATCTTTAGAATTTTCAATACACAGTCTCTCGCGCTGGAGATAAAAATGTTTTTTTGGAAATGTTCAATTCTAAATTATGAATTTGAATTTGACAAATTTGAAGTTTCAAAAGTTTCAATTCTAAATTGGAGAACATAACAAAGTAATAGAAATCTACAAAACCCTTTTTACAAAGTGCAAAAATGAAGCTAATTGTATGTTAAATAGAGAGACTGTGCTGTTATGACTAATCTAAGTTGTCTGGCCTCATCATCAGAATAAGCTCACAAAATTTATCGTGGCAAGGAGTACAAGATTACATCTGCCACTGGCAAGAGCCTTGGGCACCATGTAGGAGCAGTACGATTTTGCCCAGTTCCACCCCAATTTTGGTAGAGGCACACCCTGGGGGATGGATCCGAAGGGTCTTTCTCATATTTTCCCCTACTACCAAACTACATAAGAAGACTGTTGGCTCACCATATATTTAGAATTTTCCCATGTTACAGACATACATTTACAAACAGCCTTCTCCAGGATATGAACCGAAGCCTTTTGGTATGGCAGTCAGAATCACTAGCCACTATCCCATTTGGGCAGCAATAAAAAGATATCAGTTCCTTTGAGAATTCCATAGAAATGACTGGCACAACTTTGACAAAATTTTGCCAAATTTTATGATTCGACAGTACCAAGTTTCACAGTTTCCAGGATAATATACAAGTACCTTATTTTTATGTATAAATTATGACACATAATTAATTAAAAAATAGATTTAATGAAAAATTTTCCCTTCTACTATTATAAAACTAAATCTTATTAATTTAACATAATTCCTGCTTTATATTTGTAGGTAACAAATATTTCTGTATTGCCATCATACAAGTATGGAACCTTTGTGGAATATAGAAGATCTTGATCTTTTAGCTTCTGATTTGGATACTAGTTTATCTGGCTTAGGTGGCTCAACTGCCACTGCATTTGATATGAGGTAATTCACGTTAGTTTCTCTATTATCACTTACTTTACACTAGAATGTTTAATTTATTAGTCAAAATAGCATCAGGCCACTAACAGTTGAAATACACTCATGTCCATAAATTAAGGATAATTCGGAGTCACGCGGAAATCGAACTCTAAAATAAATATATCACCTGTAAAATCACTACACATATCTTCAAGAATCATATGCAGATTTCAAGAAGTAACCAGATGACACCGATGGTATGCCACAATGATGAGAGTGTAAGGGAGTGATACATAAGGAATACAGGCAAAGAAGTAAAATTGTTCGCAGGTCATAACTATTCGGTTATTATCACATTTCAGTGCAATAACCAAATAGTTATGACCCAAAGGACGCATTTGGATGATTTTTTACGTGGTAGAATTATCGGTCGTCTGGAATGTGGGCGTACCCAACTGGAAGTATCAGACGAACTTGGAATTGCTCAGAGTGTCATCTTCAGGCTTTGACAACAATTCCAAGATGAAAGTAATGTGAGTAGATGTTACAGCACAGGTTGCCCTAGAGTTGCAACACCGAATGAGGACCGATATTTGGCAGTTACTGCCAAAAGAAACAGGTGGAGCACAGCCTCAGACCTGTCTCGTCAGGTCTCTTCAGCCACTGGTACGACAATTTCAAGGCAGACCGTGTACAGACGCTTAGGGCAGATTGGTCTATATGCTCGTAGACCTGTCAGATGCGTTCCACTTACTGCAACTCACTGTCGCCTGCAGTTAGCCTGGAGTAGAGAGCATGCATTGTGGACACCTCAACAGTGGGCTTGTGTGATGTTTTCCGACGACTCCAGGTTTAGCTTGCAGTCTGATTCTCGCTGGGCTTTCATATGGATAACTCCAGGTACCCGTTGCCACCAAGAAAACATCATTGAACGACACCATTACGATGGAGCAGGAGTGCTTGTTTGGGGTGGAATTATTCTGGGTTCCAGAGCTGACCTACATGTTCAAATTGGAACCATGACAAGCCATATCTATCGGGACGTCATTCTGGAACAACATGTACGTTTTTTTCGGGGCGCCATGGGCTAACAATTTGTGTTTATGGATGATAACGCCTGTCCTCACCGTTCAAACATCGTAAGCGAATGCCTTTAATCAGAGGATATCACCTGTATGGACTGGCCAGCATTCTCACCGGACCTGAATCCAGTAGAGCACGTGTGGGACATGCTTGGCCGACGAGTTACAGCCTGTCAACCTCCTCCTACATGTCTACTGGAACTTCGGAGAGCATTGCTTTTTGAGTGGTGTAATATCCCCCAAGATCAGATTGATAATTTGATACTCAGCATGCCTAGGCGTTGTATGGACTGTATTGTATCGTCTGGGAGACATACAATGTATTAACAATCATACCAACCATGTAATATTGGTTTTTTGTAAATATGTTTTTTTCTTTTCTTTCTTTTTTTTTTTTTTTTTTTGTAATTTTCTCCGGGGAGGAAAAATCGCTAATTTTTTTTAATAATATCAAACATATAGCATCTTTTTTTGCTCTTTACCTTTTGTTTAATAAATAAGCTTTACAAATAAATCACATTTGTTTTGCTTCTAACTTTTCCTTTGCCTGATTTTGCATTATCCTTAATTTATGGACATGAGTGTAGTTTTAAAACACTGATGACTTGGGAATGTGTGATTAAAATTATTATTTTGTAACAGTCTGGGAAATATTTAATTTTTTGCTATCATCTTTTATTAGTATAAATAGTTTAAAAAATTTCATGGCCCTATGATTAATACAAGTTTTCCTGCATTGTGGGAATGATTAATACAAGTAGCTGATTCTAGTGAGTTGTGATATGGGGAAGGAAGGTATATTAATTTATATGGGAAAGAGGTTTAAATGTTTCGAGGCTGTAGAAAACTATCAAGGATGCAGCAAAACATGTAAAATATAAAAGAATAAAAACAAAAATACTATGATAAATACACAATATAAATAATGCAAATGCATTATAGTTTCATTTTCTAAAATTAAGAAAACCACAAGAACAATGGAAAATTTTAAGCTGGTGACAGCAATGGTGATTTTTTTAAGCTGAGCCATCACAGCTTTAACAGAGTACAGCCCATTCGCTGGGATTTCAAGTGGGTTAAACTACCAGTGTTCAATGATATTTATCACTCAGCTGATAATGGGGATTAAAGAATAAAAATAATTCATAGCATATTAACCATTAATATGTAACCCTTAATGCTGAATGCTTTGTAGAGATTAAACATGGGAAATAGTTATCATCAAACATATTTTTATGGAAATATCGTTAAACTTTTACACATTCGAATATAATTATTCAAAACTATAATTTTTAAGAAGAGATTTTTGGTACATCCTTGTCAGAGCTACACTACATAAGCCTTTGGTGATATTTAAAATTTGGGCATTACAGATTGGATGATAAGTTTGCCACTGTCGGTAAGTATGTGTGGTGGCTACTTGAATACGGAAGTATCTCAATAAATCAAAATGGAAAATAAGAGATTTTCAGTCTGTTTCTTTCCAAAATGAAGGCATTAGCACAAAGCATATGTCTGTAAATGAGATAGCACATATCTTGATAGTTAGATGGTAAAACTTGTGTGGGTACTTCTTTGTAAAGCATTTGATTTGCATCAAATCCCAGCTGCATGGGACTGTATGCATGGAAATTTTCATGGTTTTTCCTGTGTGTAATGTGAATATGAACCAATTTATGTTTAACATGTTCTCCACAAAAGCATCTTTTATCTTAGGCTTCATATATTGAACAAATTCATGGTCACTTTAACAATGAATACAAAAAATCTATTCTTTAAAAATCATTCAGTTTTGAATAATTACTCAAATTGTGTTGGGATGAGTAAAATATTTTGCAATACTTGCATGACAACTTAAGAAACTTAAACCGTCTATTATTCAAGCAGCCATTTCAGAAGCCTTTGACAATTCTTGCAACTTGCTCAATACAGGTTTGGTATTTAAGTTTGCCTTTTTTGGCGACTAAGTGCAGTAGGTACTTTAAAAAGGAGATTGTGATTTTTTTATGAGCAGGAAAAGAAATCAACATACTATATTTCCCCCCCCCCCTTGCCTCTCTTCTTGTTTGATTTCTTCCCACTCAATCCTCATAAAATAAGAACAATTACTCAGAAATTTAACTATATAGTATATTAACATAGAGTTTGGGTTTTACATTTATTGTAGTATGTAAAATAATTGCTTCAAGAATTAAGTTCAAAAATTAAATTGCATTTAAAATAAAGCCTCTTGTTTCATAATGCTTAAAACTGCATATGAAAGTGAGTGCCACCTATTAAAGATTAAAAGGAAAAATGAAAAAGATGTTCTTATTTATAAAAGAAACCAGAAAATTTAAAAAGTACCATTTTCCCTAAGGCTATTTTGGTATTCCTCCTTTCCTCCTTTGTCTGAGTTATTCAGAAGCAAATTGAAGAAGAATAAATATGAACAGGAACGTATTGAGAACAGTAATAACATCGTAAATGCTTATATTTTGAAATGTTAATTAAAAATATGTTTTTATGGAATCTTTTCCTGAGCAGAGTTGTAGCTAGGGTGTTCAGTGCCATGGGCAAATGAAGATTCATTGCCCCCTTCTGTTTGCCAAGAATGGAAAACATTTAATTCCAGAATTTTACAATATCAGTTTGGCTGCTCTTATATGCTATGCCCAGGAACAGATGCTCCCTTGAACAGCTATGTGGCACTGTTCCTGAGCACCTTTTTAACCCCCTGAGTGACACGACTGCCTTTACTCAGTCATGAGTTTTTTTAATCTCTTGGTGTATATTAGTTTACAATTTTAACTGTTTTGCCTTCTTTCTTTACTGATGTAAATATCATCTTAATTAGTTTAACTTTATGAAAACAAAAACTAAGTTATTAACCAAATTTAGCCATTAAATGCAGTTTCAGTTCAGGTCTTCATGAACAGATCCCAAAACCCGTGCCACTCTGAGAGTTAAATATGCTTGTCAACAGTATTATTTTGGCGACTTCATTTAAGGTTCAAAAGTATAAATATTTCAGTATGTTATTAAAAAAACTATGAAATATATATGCTAGTTTGTAATTATTATTATTATTATTATTATTTTATTTATTTTTATTTTTCTAATCTTTAAAGAAATGAAAAGAGAAAGGGGATGTTACTTAATAAAACAAGTTTATATTTTTTAAATAAGGTAGTATTACTTTTTACAGTGATGCTTTGTCAGCTATACAAGTTATCAAAATGAATAAGGAAGAGGATTTCAACAGGTATAACACAATATTCTTTATTTTATGACTTGATATTTTTTATTCTTTTCAGTTTTTTAAGAATGCTATGTGTTTTTTATCTTATGCTTCTTGACAAATACCTGAATAAAAAAATATTTCTTTGATTTTTTTTAATGAAAAAAAAAATGTAGTGCTTTCAGTTTTAATTTTTTAAAAGACGATAAAAAAACTATGAAGTATTCCTAGTGATTAGAGAGAGAACCTTTTAGAGAACCTTTTCATCATTTTTCATTTCCCCTTTCATGAGTACCTGAAAATTTTTTCATTTTTATTTTTTAAAAGCATTCTTATATGGAAAAACAAGTTTGGCATTCTTTGATTATCCACCCAAGCTTGCCTTTGCTATCAGATTACCAGCAGGTATTTCTAAAGAGACTCAACTTTTTCAAACTCCCAAACTGGTTAAGAAAGCTAAAGCAAAGAAGTATACAAAGGACAAAGCTGAAGCTCTTGCATTTAATGCACTTGCGACTGATGTATCAGACAACGAATTTGGAAATAAGACTGAACTTTACCATGTTGAGACAAATCAGGAAACCGAACAATTTCTGAGGAACATGTTACTGCAACAAGGAGTGGATAATTTTATGGAAAATTTCAGATTGATCGGATTCAATCTACCCAAGATGTCACCGATGGAAACCATGAGAAAACGAATTCATACTGACAACCCCTCAACTGAAAATAATCCAGAAAATCAACAGATGGAGGAAAACCCAGAGAATGAATGGATCAAGCCTAAAAAAGTTGCTAAAATCTCAGAAGAGCCCAAACCTATGGATATTCCACATCAAAACAGATTCTAAACCCTTGCAGAGCAACCAACGGAGAATGAAGAAGGAGTTAACTAGGAAAAAACACCTTCCCGCATTGTTATAGCTCATGATGACGTAGACTGGTTGGAAATTGATGAGATTTTCCAGGAAAACTGTTCCAAGGAGTTTGAATCAACTTTGAAGGCAAAAAACATCTTTATCTATACAAAAAACACTACGGACTATAGAAAAATGTGTAAAATACTTGTGGACAAGAGTATATTGTTCCACTCTTTTCCCTAGAAAGCGAAAAGCCGCTACATGTAATTTTTAAGGGAATCCCAGCCTCAGTGAAGGAAGAAATCATACTCAACGAACTTGTGATACGTAAGTTTTAAATAATAAAAGTCAAGCAATTTACTCGTAGACGTCAAGAAACTGTTGAGAAACTACCCATTTACCTATTAGAATTAAAGAAAAATGTAGAAGGTCATGCTATCCATCAGGTAAGCAGAATGTTCGGCTTCAATGTTAGCATCGAGAAGTTCTCGCCTAGACGATGCCCAATACAGTGCTTCCGATGTCAGGAATTTGGGCACTCACAAGTCTGCTGCAATAAACCTCAAAGATGTGCACTTACAGCACCGAATCAACCAGTGTACCCTCAAAAAGGAAGAAAAGCCAAAGTGTATTTTTTGTGGATCCAACCACGTCAGCAGCTACCGTGGGTGTAGCGCCTACAAAAAATATTTGAGCAAAAGACACAGCCCGCAGAGCAGAAAAAACAGACTCCCATGGAGAAAGTTCCTGAACTCAATACTGAAAATTTCCTGGTATTTCAACCAAAGAGATGAATGCAGTTCAACAATCCCTTCCAGGAATTTCCTACAGTGATAAAATCAGAAGAAAAATTAAACCACCACCTGAAGATTTTAATGAAGACCTCACCTGGATGCAAAATGGAAAAATCATGAACTTTTTAAAAACTGTGATTTCTTGATTTCTTAACTCTTGATTTTAATGCCAAAATGCCTGTCCTGCTTTATACCTGGATTTATGCAATTTTAATATATTGCCTTAATTTCTTGGATATATTTCAAGATGCAAACACACACACACTCACATATATACACTTAAATAATTATAAAGAATATTCTAGGCATCACAAAAAATATTCATAGATCAAGAGTTAAGGTTATTGTTCCAGCAATCTGCAAATTTAATCTGTACAGTGACTGCTAATTTTGAGGAGTGGAATGGTTTGAAGTTGCATTTGGCAACTAGTTATTAATGATAACTAATTTGGAAGAAATCGGACTCATTGATTGATTGAAGTGAGATCTGGCAGAGGATTCATATTAATCAATTTATCCATTTTGTTCATAAACTTCATGGAAAGTGTCTGTAAGGCAGTGTTATTTGAAATGTGAAACAATTATAATCTAGTAACTATAAAAGCAACATCTGTTGAAAAATGAATGTTAGCTTCAGCAATTCTGCCATTTTTGGAAGTAATGGGAGAATGCATCTTTCAGCACTTATCATTGACTAACTAGTTGTGTTGGATAACTTGCATTGTCAGAAATCAATGACCTATGGACCCATCTTATAAAAAGAACATGTCTCCAAACTGCTTGAAGGAAGATCCTGGCTAGTAAAATGATCATAGCATAGCTGGGATTTATTTTTGGGTTATGAATTCTTAAATTGGCATGCAGTAGGACTTTAGTAGAGCATGCAGTAGGACTTTAGTAGGGCATGCAGTAGTAGACTTTTTCACATTTAAACTATAGTATGAACTACTATACTGTCCAGCAGTTATGTATGATGCTATTTATATACAGTACAAAGTCTGTAATCCGGACATCCTTTATACGGAATGATCTATAACCCGGACCTCAAAGCCTCAAACTTACGCATGCGCGTAATGCGTTTACACATGCTCTTTTAATGCACACGTCTGCTACGCATGCACGTAAAGCGTTTACCCATGCATGCTTCAGATAGTGAAGAAAGTGACAGAGATGAAACGAAAACGAAAAAAATTTAGATTGACAAGTTAGTTGGTATTCTTGACACAGCAATTACAGGACTTGAACAGTGGAACTTTGTCATTGAACAAGAAATTATGTCTGTTTATAGAATTAAAGAGAAAGTATTAGCACAAAAAACGAAGCAACTTACATTGAAAGAAATGTTTAATAAAGTAAACAAATAAATATTAAGCTTTTTTTTTTTGTAAATTTTGATACCCCTTAGATCATAATTGCTCTTTATTTCGTAAGTTACGGTTTCATATTTTTAATTTTATAATTTCTGCATGCCATCTATCCAGATTTAAATTGATGATCTATAATCTGGGAAATCCATTAATCCGGAATCGCCGAAGTCCCAATGAGTCCGGATTACGGACTTTGTACTGTATTTCTTTATAAGGAGTAAATTAATGCTTTCGGCCAGTTTCAAGTATTGCAAGTTTGATTACATTTCATTACTTTTTATGAAATTTTTGGAGAAAAGGATACAATCAACAAATAGAATTGCTAGTATTATTGTGGAACAAACCTTGATTAGCAGAAGTGGTACCTACAATACCTGTGCTTTGTCTTTATAGCATGTGGAATAGGTTTTGAACAGTTGTCTTGAGAATATATATATGCAACAGCTATATTGAGAAAAAATATCTTTTGCTCGAGTAGATTTGGATGCCATAAAATTGTAAATGGTTTTGTTGAAAGGTGAGATTTATTTTTGCCTGAAAATAGTTATGTGTATTATTTATTTGCAGGTTTTAAGGACTATCTAAGCTCATATATTCTTTTCACTAAACCAGCTTCTGTATGACATATACTGATCATTTTGCTTATCACTGAACATTTCAAACAAAATTTGTCTGACATTAGTCAGAATATAGGAAAGTCTGTGCAATAAATGGGAAACCTGAAATCAAGCAGCTTTCCTTTCCATCCGAGGATTAGCCCCCAAAGAACTGATGCTATGCAAACAGGTGAAAGCCTGTGAGCTGTTAATTTCCAAAATAGTAGTTAGATAATCTAAGACTTCAAATTAAATTAAAGTGACCCATATTTATCCATTAATTCTGTTGAATTTATAGAGATTAATGAAATGGAATAAAAGTGTATTTTGATCGATGCTGAGTTGGCCTTATGCAATAATTAAGACATTATGCCCATTCTTTTGATAATGATCATTTTCGGAGAAGAAGAAAAGTTTATTTTACAACCCTCCCAAAAAACAGGTATTGTTTCACATTATTTCCTTAGATGTGAATGGTTTAGATGAGCAGAACTGGGAAGAACATATAACATTCGAGTAAAAAACAGTAGATGTCGGCAAGAACTGATTGGAATCAAGATATCATGCTTCTTCAAGATAATACTTATTCTCATCTCATACCAGTCTGTACAGAAAATTAATCATTTAGAATATGAGAATATGTCATGCTGTTTTTTGTGGCTTTCACATAGAGATCGTTATTTTTCTTCTTTTTGATTTATTTTTAATTTGAAAAGTTCACCATGATATTATGATTTAGTGATTCATCTATTTAATAAATGGTTAAGACTTCAGAGAACTAGAATCTTCTGGTGAAAAAGATATTGTTAAAATTTTATGTAGAAGGGATATATTAAAACTGAAAATTTATCTGAAGAAGTTTGATAATATCTGATACATGAAAAAATACCCATATATATTTTCAGTATGTATCTCTTGAAGTACAATAAGATTATAAAAGCAGTAATAAAAAATCTGTTGGTAGCTTAGGAAAATTGTAAAAGAGGTGAAGTTATTAGGCTATTAGTTAGTTATTTGGAAAGGCAAAGATATACTATATAAAATATATCACACATTTTGCATTGAAGATGATTATTAATAGCTGTCAGCGGAAAGCTGGCTTCACCCATGCTTGATTAGCCAAAAGCTCAAGCAATGTCATATCAACTCTTATAAAACTCTTCCATGTTATTTGAAGCATTTTGAAAGTCATAGCATGTATATATGATCGCCAAAAAGTTACTATGCAGTTTAAATAATAAGGTAATATATACCAAGTGACAACAGATCTTATGTTGGATAAAGGCAGTCATGTTGCTCAAAAAGTTAAAGGGTTTTATACGAGGGTTGGAACTTTAATAGTGGCAACACAACTGAAAAAACACTACGCAAAGAATATCGTGTATACCAAAGAATATCGTGTATACCACACGTAAACTACATACCTACCTTACCTCTCAGCAAAAAGACTCGTCCTGCCTACGTCACGCGCATGCGGAGTGACACGAAGAACGGATCCTTGTATTAGCTCGCGGTCTAAAGTAAGTGTTGTCAGGATGTTTTCAAAACAAGAACAACGATGTTGGATAAAAATTGAATGTGCCAGAGGTCGTACAGCACGACAGTGTCATCAAGGGCTTCAAGAGGCTTGCGAGGAATCTGCATTGCCTTACAAAACCGTAGCGAGATGGGTGAAAGCATTCAATAAAGGATGCCAAAACGTGGCAGACATGCTGCGGCCAGGTTGTCCGAGGATCAGCAATGCAGACGTGCAAGCTGTTGCCGTACTAATGGACAGTGATCGCCGCCAAATGATTCGTCAGCTGGCCGGACAAACAGGATTAGCACATACGACTGTGCTGCACATTCTGAAGGAACGCCTGTCCATGAGAAAAATTGCTTCACGATGGGTTCCACATCAATTGACGGAAATGCAGAAATGGCTACGATACGATGCTGCCCAAACCCACTATGAGCATGAAGGAGATGCTTTTTTACGCCGTATCATTACGCTGGATGAGACTTGGGCTCGATCATACCAGCCAGAACTGAAACGGCAATCAAACGAATGGCATCATCACGGGTCACCACGCCGTTGGAAATTTCGTCAGAACCCCAGCAATGTGAAAGTTATGGTGATTCTCGTGTACGACTGTGATGGTGTCATCCTAACGCATACCGTTCCCCCACAGCAGACCGTCACTGCGCAGTATTACTGCTCATTTTTGGAGCACAATCTCCGACCAGCTTTGAGAACAAAACGGCGACACTTTCTGCAAAACGCTCCTCTCATTTTGCATGACAATGCTCGGCCGCATGCAGCGCAAGCTGTGACTGATTTGTTCAAGCGATGGGGCTGGGAAGTGCTTTACCATCCACCATACTTCCCAGATCTAAGCCCTTGTGACTATGACTTAATTCCTAAGATGAAGGAACCACTTCGTGGCACTCGCTTCCAAACTGTTCCTGAGATTCTTGCGGCAGTAGACCGGTCCATTCAAACTATCAACAAAACAGGCGCTGCTACAGGTATTCTGCGACTTCCACATCATTGGAAACGGGTTGTACACAATGCTGGCGACTATATTGAAGGACTGTAAAACATGGTGACATGAATCACTTTTGTATTCCTTGTAAATAAATAGTTGCCACTATTAAAGTTCCAATCCTCGTACATAGTCATTTAAACTGCTGAAATGAAAGGTAAATTCTTTCCTTGAGGAATTGATGATTTCTTAGCTTATGGTGCAAAAAAAGACAGTAAAGGTCAAACAAAGCTGTTTTTTGAAGAAAAACAGGATAAGAGTAAATAAGAAAATTACTAAATTATGTATAGAAAGCTAAGTTCAGGTTACAAGCTTTTACTATGAAACATCTCATAAAAGAAATGAAAAGTCTTCAGTAGAAAAATAAAAAAAATTGACAAATTTTTAAAATTTGGAAAAGTTTGATGCAGTTTCTCACAGAGAAAGTGATTAGATTATTTTAAAAATTATTTCAAACATTTCTCTGATTGTTTTGAATTTTGTTCTGTAGATTATGCTAAATGCTGGTACTCTGCTTACAGAAACGAGTGCCCAATAAATTTCCTTTTGCTGATGAAATAAAAGCTGGTATATTAAAATCATGCATTTTGTATGTAAATTCAGAGTGTTTTACACTTACTGTAAATAAAATTTTGCTAAAATTTATTAAAGTGTATTGATAGAGACTATTTTCATTAATCCAGTACCTAACTCGCTTATATGTTGCTTGTTTTCTACATTGAAAGAAATTAGCCATTTTGCCTGCAGTAACATAATATTTTGATGAACTGGTAGTAATTCTGCTATCTGATACATTTTTTGAATACATGGATTAAAATTTCTAAGAATTTCTGTCACATTAAGTGTTGTTATGTTCCTCCCCCCCCAAATAATATATTACATTTTTGCCATGTTTGTAAATTTACATGGAAATAATTATCTGTCAGTGCTAAAATGCTAATTTGAAAAGTACTTATTTTCACACACTTAGTAACCAATGTTAGGAACTTCTGTTGGCTATAATTTTGTCGATAAATGTCTGAAATTCTGTTGTACAGCTTCTGTCGTGTTATTTTAATCTCATTCCTTTTCTAGAATTCATGAAATAGCAAAACAGAAGCTATCTGTTATGCTTATAATCATGGAGCCTTCCAGTTTCCAAACATCTTTAAACAGCTTTATTCTCACATAATTAAATTATGCATTAATTAGAAAACATGCTTGGAAATGCAACATTGAAATATGTTTACAGATAGCAAGAATGGGAGTAGGGAATTTTTGGGGGTAATGAGACCTCATTTACAGTAAATAATCATGTGATTTATCTACTGCTGATTTGAGGAGTTAATATCAGTTATATTTTTTCCCCAAAAGTGAAGCAGTTACTTTAAAGCTACTTAATAGTTGATAATTAAAGAAAATCCAAACAAAACATTATGCAGGCCATTACCAATCTTAATTTTGCAGCACGGAAATCCCTGTACCTAAAAAATCACCAAAGTTACCATGATTGCCAAAGACAGGTCCTGGTATTGTTTAATATAAGCAACCCAATTGGTATAGTGGTAGTGACATTGACTGCTATACTGATGGGCCCAGGTTCAAGTCCTGGAGAAGACGTGGATATTTGTAAGCGTATATTATCTATGTGGCAAGGGGCACTCAAAATACACAGCGAGTCAAAAGTCTTCTCAAGAGGTTCATGGTGGGGAAGAGGGGCGAGAGACAGTCAGACTGTCTCTCAAGGTGTTCTCTCTAAAAACTAGGGTGGAACTGCTCAGTTAGTGCAGTTGGACTAACCAGTGTTGAAATTCTGATGTCTCATCCACTTCAACCTGTGCTTATTGTTTAGTATACCTGTATCTTATTTTCTTCTCATTTTTTCTGTTGTGGTATTTAATGAGTTTTCTTTGATATAAATATTAGCTTTGTATGATAAAATTTGACCTTTTGTTTTATCTAGAGATCATTTCTTTTTAACAAGTTCTTTTGATAAATCATTAAATAAAGAAAAGGCTAGATCCGAGCAAAATCTGAGTTCATGGAACTTCTCATTATCCAATGTAACTCCAAAACCAGCGAAAGTTGTTAAAAAACCATGCCGCAAGCATGATGGTGAGCTAAATAAGGGAGAAAATTGTATGAGGTATTGTTTATATTTTTTTATTTAAACAATATGACATTGATACCACACCAGAATCACAAATCTAAATTTTTGCTGTTTTCCCTGGAGCCTTGTAGCCTCAAATTCTGATTTGTATGTAAAATAACTTAGATTGTTATGCACACTTAACTGCAAAATGACTTTTTTCAGAAAGTGAAATTGACAAATCTGATACTTTCATAACTTTTCTTATTGGTGATTTTGGTGTGGAATCTACAACATATGTTTTTCTTTTTTATGCTGCATTTTTAAGTATACAGTATATACTCACATATTTCGCTCTTTTCGTATTAATATTACTGCTTGAAAACCAGGAGCGGAAAAATATGCAGTGTAATACTATTTTTGAAGTAAGTGATCAATACAGTACATTAAAAATTGCATATTTCTAATTATTCTAAGTTTTTAAATTAATTTCTAAATTATAATCTTTTTGCTTACACAGAATACTTTTCTATTTCTGCATACATTTTACTTCATTGTAAACACAAAGTTCCTAAATCATATGCTGAAAAAAAAAAACTATGTGAGTAAATACAGTATTTATCAATGCTTTCATCATGAAGCCTACTTTGGTTTTTATGATTCATATTCTGAAACTTATTACTAGTAAACTTATTTCATATCTAAAGCAAACTTATTACTTTTTCAGAACATTATAAAGAAATGTAACATTTTCATTGTATTTTAGATGCTCTTGGAAATAGTAAAAGAATATATTATTATGTAGTATTTGTTATTCTTTCATTAGCTGAGTGCCAATTAGTGGTCATGTACCATGCCGCAAGCATGATGGACTTCTGAGCAGTGATATTTTGATTTGGGTTCAGTTTCCATTGATTGACCAGCAGTTTTCATGCTGTTTTCCATGTGTAACATAAATACAAGCAAGTTTCTTTTAAAAAAATTTCCACAAAAGCATTTCTTCCCTTAGGTTGATAGCCTAAGGGTTATGCCTAGGCTATCAACCTTTTATTAAGGCTTAACATTAGTTTGCCTTAAATTAATTTTCTTCAACACTGTAATAATGTTTATTTGCAAATCTGCATATTCACATTTTGTTCTTACTTTATTTTCTTCAGTGACATAAATTACAATGCAGATAGTTTTAACAGGTTTCTGAATTTTACAATTTTTTTGTGAAATTTTTCCCCTGAATATATTTTTTCCCCATTTACCTACATTAAAACATCTTTAACAAATTTGTGTAATTTTCTGATATTGTACTAGCCTATCTTTCTTTACAAAGTCAACTTTAATGTTGCTTTAATTACATTTTAATTGTACTTCCTCATTTTAATGTTAAACTTACTGAGTATTTTAAAATCAAATACTTATCTTGGCAAACTTCCTATGCCTGCAATTCTTACTAATTCAAGCAACAGATGTCTTTATATTGTGTGTTTTTTTAACTAGCAGAAGTTATTAACCAGATATTTGGCCCTTTTCAGAAATAAGGGAATAAAATCTAAATTTAGAATCACATTTTTATCTTAACTTGCAGAGCATTTGATAGCAATTCATAATAAATTGTACCAATTGTATCTTTATTTATTTAATAACCTTGAATAGCCATAACTGAAGAAGGATCTTCTTTGTGGATTCCCAGTTTAAGCAAGAAATGTAATGTACACTGTGGGGGGGGGAATGTACAGTTCTATATGTTTCGTTCTACTGGGCCTATTGATGAAATTCAAATTGCGTTTTTCATGTCCCGAAATCGCGACTTAGCATATGTATTAGATTTATATATAGCATTGCTCTAATATAGGTATTGTGACACAAAAACATACCTTTTAAAAAATTACATGTCAATTTTTTTCCGTATTTCGATTCTACAAATTATGCCAAACTGCCAAGTTTTGTAAAAATTGAAGGAGTAGTTTTTTAAAAAATTAGCTCTAAAAATTTTAGCTCATCAATGTTAATTGAATTTGATATATATATATATTATCTTTTTTTTTTTTTTTTTTTTTTATTAAACTTACTTGATTCCTTCTTCCAGAATTTGAAAATTTAGGCTTAATCAAAAATATAATTCATACATTTTTATGATTTATTTTTAAAATTTGTATTTAAAAATATTTTTTATAAATTTTTCAAAAACATTTTTGTATTATAACCTATAAAAGTTTTAATATCATCTTACTATAGTAGTAAGTAGATGTATTTCTAGTCACACCTGCAAAAATTTGATTTTTTTATTCAAAATTTCCTTAGATATATGTGAATTTACATTGTGGCACATTTTGAAATTTGGCATATTTGTTAAAAATATAATAATGCCAAATCTGGTTTTACACAGTCTGTTAAAATGATTTGAAAGTATGAACGTTGACATTTCTTACACTCATGTACAATGAAGAAAAGGAAAGGAAAATAGGTTGTTATAAATTAAGAAGTTTGCCAAGTGAATTACTTTTAGGGTAAACTGAAAAAAAAATGTTGCAAGATAAATTTTTAAATTTCTCCATAAATTCCTCACAAAAATCACAAAATTTAATATCTAGGCATAACTTGACTTGTAGAATCGAAATATGGGGAAAAAATTGGTGTGTTATTTGAGAAGTGTCAAAATACCTACATGCTATATATAAATCTAATATATATCCTAAGTCCAAGACATGAAAAACTAAAAACACAATTTGAATTTTGTCAATCGGCCCAGAATGGGAAATATGAAACTGTACCCCCCTTTTTTTTTTGCGAAGTGTACCTGAACCTTCTTCATACTGTCTTGAGAATTTAAGCAGTACTCCTCTCATACAAATGCTTTATTAAAGATTTTGTTGTATTTTCAGAAAGGAGAGAAAGTTTTATATTTATTATGATTTTACATGATTAATTTTATTTCTTTCTTTAGGGACAAGAATTACTTTAATATGGAGCTTTTAGTCATGACTCTAAAATTTTTTTTAAAACTAATATTAATACATAAAAGAGTTATTTTAACTTAGTAGCTACTATTATCTGTTAAAAATAAAAATTTCTTGCCAGTTATGAGACCTCATATGTTTAATTTATCATAAAAGTGTATCATCAATTGCAAATCATAAAAGTTTAACACAATGAATTATTTAAAAAATATTTTATCTATATTTTTTTTAATAAACATTTTGTTGCAGCTTTTTATATCATTATTGTAATAAATAGAATATGTTTTTAATTTGCGCATAATGCTATGGTCTGCATCAAAAAAAATTTAGTGGTCATACTAAAGGTTTGTAATAATATGTATATTGTAATAATCTGTATTATTTCTTTTCTTTATTCGGTGCTATAAATAATAGTATACTTCTTAATATTTAGCTTCTTATTTATAATATTTCATGTTTTAAAAACTTCTGAAATTTCCAAAATTAAATACTTTTAAATTGAGGTTTAATTTTAAACAGTAAAGATTTAATTTATCATTTTGTATTATAATTATGTCAAATGTGAAACTGCTTTTCTATTTTTGGTTTTATTTTCAGTTATTTAATTGTAAATTTCCTTCTGAGATGTTAAACTGCGATAAAAATATTCAGAATGTCAAGGTTATTATTTTGTATTGTTATGTATTTATTTAAGTCAAAGTTTTAATTTGACAACTGTGCAGTAAAACACTACAGTAATTTTTGCATGATAATAATACATTTTTTAAGAGGAAAAGAAAATCTAGTTCATGTAATTTTTGTAGCCTATGTTAGATAAAGTACTAGTAACAGCTTCTTATAGTGCAAAGATACCTAATATTATGCTTTCTTAATGTCACAGAAATAATAATCAGAAATGCTTTTTACATGTGATTTTCTGCATTTAAACATTGTATTAAATTGAAGGCATTAACTATTTTAAATATACTTTTTTTATAAAATTTTTTGTAAAATATTTTTATTTTTAATAATACTGTTTATTTATCATATATACTTTGCTGGATAGTTGCTAGGGATGGATCTCAAATTGCAGTGCAGCATAAAATCAAGCAGGGTTGGAAGCTAAGCAGGATACTGTAGAAAAATGTAAAGAAATGTGTAGAATTCAAAATGTTAAACTGCATATGAACAAAACAAAATGTTGTTGGTATGGAATATGTCCACTGTGGAATGTGATGCAACTTTCCGCATATTGTGTCATGGTTACATAAAATTATCCAGCTGTTATTAAGGCAATCAATCCCACTCCTCTGTCAGTGCACAAATGAAGTGTTCTTATTCACTGGAGATATTTTTGACCAGTAAGTCATTATCCCCAAAGCATCTGAAACATTTTCAGTAGGATTTAGATTAGGACAACATGCTGCCATACAAGGTGTGGAATATTCTAGCTTCTGACAATCCTCAGTGGCAAGTGTTCAATGACATTGGTGTGTTTTCATTCATGAAAAGAAATTTATCATTAAAAGTATCACAAAAAAGACAAACATGATACAGTAGAACTTCTTCAATATATCGTTGGCCAGTTTTTCCCAGTTGAAACCATGTGTAGGGGCATGTGGCCATTGATCATGATGCCAGCTCGTACCATAATACTGCATCTTGGATATCAATCCCTTTCTTGGATATTTTCTGGATAATAAGTAATATCACTCATGTCAGATCATGTGATGTCTACAATACAATTATAGACTGAACCTATTCTTACCTGAGAATAATATGCATGCCCAGTCCTGTTCAGGCCAGTTACAATGATCATGACATCATTACAAGTGGGCAGTATTGTGCTGTTTAAATAATGGAGCACACACAATAGGTCTGTGGTCATATAGTTCCACTTCTCTCAAACATCTGGCTGTAGTTTCTTTGGAACATTTGCTGTCCTGTGGCAGCAAGAAACTCAGTTCTACCTGCTGAGCTGTGGCATGCCAGTTTCTTTTTGCTGATAGGGATAGGTACCTGGCTCTTGCAGTGTCTTACATCTAACATGACTTCATTTGCATTTCTGGACTGTCTGTTCTAGTTGTTTTAAATCTTTCCATAGCCATGAAACAATGTTGAAGGCTATGTTGAACTCTCTGGTATATATGGTATTTTTCATCCTTCATCGCGCTTTTAATTAATACAGTCATGCGTAAAATCATCTAAATGATGTTGAGAAGACATACTGAAACTTTCAAGATTGTCAATGAAATCTTTCCTGTAAAACTTTCACTTGGTACAACTGACAGCACTTTTAAAAAATCAAATCTTTTATCAGTGCTATCACATGATGAACAGGTGAGAAAATGAAAATTTGCACATGCTTATTTTTTCTTATTCTATCCTGTGCTTTTTCACATTTTGCTTCCTTTCATTTTGTGGTTGCTATAGTTGTTTGTTCTTAGTTGATAATGTTGTTCATTCCTAGTGTTTGCCCAACTGTGTATTCATACATAGGAAAATTCAAGTACTGTTTATTTTTTCTCCATTTAACCTAAATTTTCTACAGTTTTGTGATTGCTATGGCTGATAGTGTTGTTCATCCTTAGTGATTGTTCAGCAGTGTATTTATACATGGTTAAGTTCAGGTACTGTTTATTTTTCCTTTTTGTAATTTTTTTAAAAAATTATTTATTTATATGAAAAATCTGTCTTCAGTGACGAGGCCAGTCTAACTGATGCACTTGCTATTGAAGGAAATTCTTATCCTAATATCATCAGTGCACCTACACTTAGTCGCTCATTGTCACAGTGTAGCTTACAGCCAGGATTTACTATGAAAGAACCTCATTTTGTGAAATCTGATTTCCAGTATGTTCTTGCTGCAGCTACAGCATTGGGTACGAAAGTTGGGGAAGAAACTTTAACTTATTTAAATCAAGGTATCTATTTTTTTATTAACTGAAGAAGTTTTCCAACAAATCTTTGTTTAACCCTCTGAGCGGCCAGGGTTTTCGCTAAAAAAACACAAATTTCCTAAAACTACTATGAGAACAAATTATGTTTTTGGTTTTAATGTAAAAACTCTCCTGGTATTACATACCAGGAGATATCACAAAAAATATTCTAAGCCGTATATATACGGCCTTGCTGCTTATAGGGTTAAAGAAAGACATGTAAACTGAAACATTAAGTGAATAATATTAGAAATAGATTTATAAGAGTTTTGGTCTCATGGAAAAATGCTTTGCTTTCTACTTTTTTACACGCCCACCAGCGGCCGAGTGGTAAAGTCGCTGAACACTGGTTGTTCGGTCCGAGGTTCGAATCCCGCAAACGGGCTGGCTGCATGGGTGTTTTCATGGTTTTCCCCATGTGTAATGTGTATACGAGCCAGTTTCCCTTAGAAAGTCCTCCACGAAGGCATCCCTCCCCTTAGGCAGATAGCCCTAGTGTGCTTTGCCATAATTAAATACACCAACACCACTACTTTTTTACACACATAACATTTTACAGAGAGGAAGATATTGTCATTTTTTAAAATTAAATTGCATCTTAACTTTAAAATGAGCTTTTTTTTTTTTTTTTTCAAGAAAAGTTATTACCATAATAAACAATGTTAAACTTTTCAATAAAATTTTTAAATATATAAAAAGTGCAGTCAAGTTATTACTTCATTGGTTTTCTTAATGTTAAACTTTTCAATAAAATTTTTAAATATATAAAAAGTGCAGTCAAGTTATTACTTCATTGGTTTTCTTAGAATGAATAATTATTGCAAGATTAGCCATTTAAAATGAGCAGATTTATAGTCTGTAATAATATTGTTACGTCATTTTCTTCCTTCACGTTCATACGGAGTTTGTAGATTTGGAGTGAATAACGACGACACTTGATGATGATGAAGTATCAATGCACACTTTATTGGCCAGTATTATTCAAAACAGCTCCAATAACATGTTTACACAGTTAACTCCAATAACATGTTTTACAGTTGTCGAAAAACTACAATAAACACGCTGACGCAATCAGTGACACAGCCTTCACACTATCAGACTATAACAGTGGAGACAGCTTCATGGCAAAGCACCAGAGTACAGCTCCTGACTCTGCTCGGTTGCTGTCAGAACTCTATGTACTCTCGAAACTCTCCACGCTACAACTCACGATGCATTCAACAATACACAAGAGTACAGCTCTCAACTCAGCACACTCTAAGACAAAACTCGACGATGCGTTAACTCGCAATACAATAAAAGACTCTTGATGCACTCGACGACCAACTTGGCGCTAGACTTCGAGACACTTGCTCAGTGACTGACTATCAACTCGTTAGACGAGGCACTAACTGACTCTCTGCGTACCAGCAGGGTTTATATATCTTTGGGCTTGTGTTCACGAACATTCTGGTTTAAACCAGTAAGAATTCGTTCCAGAAGGTTCTCCATCTCTCCATGGCATATTGCCAAATTTGTCACCAATGTGCGATTGTTGCCAAATGTGACAACCCTGCCTTCCCTTGCTATTTTATGGCAACCCTAAACCTGACTTGCGAGGAAGCTATCATACCGCGCCTGGACATTTGGTAACAATATGACTATAAATAATAATATTTTTATATTAAATATGCATTTAAAGAAAGATAAATTTTATTGTTGGTATATCTACTGTAAACTGTATTTATATTATGTGGTGATATTTTAGTATTGTGTTCAGTTTTTATATTCTAATCATTTCTGCTTCTGCAGTTATGTTTTCTAAAAGTATTTGGGTTATTCATGCTTTTACCTGAGTAAATAGTTTCCAAAGCCTTATTTTTATAAATTTTTTATCAATATAGAATATGACAGAGGTAAAGTTAAAAAAGCAAATCTGAATTATGTACAATTTAAAACAAGATTGCGTATACAAAATTCAGTAATTTTAATTTTAAATGCACAACACTGACTTTTAACTTTTATTGTTTCTTTTTAACAATATCTTTATGCATTTTACGTTGCATACATTTTTCATATAGATTTATGGGTACTCTCTATTAAACTATTACTGCTTGATGCTTTTATTACTTTTGTGCATTTCTTAGGTGCCAGTTTGATTCTACTTCTTTCTTGGCATTAATTATCTTTAGCCATGACACATGTAACTTATGTTTTTCATGTAAATAAGTGCTTCCTTTTTTCATGATTTTGGATTTGCCAAGACATTAAAGGTGGTTATCCTGTTACATCAGGAAATTCTTCGTGAAGAAAAATTGTGTTCAAATCAAAGTTTGCTTCAGATGAATCACAGCAAAACAGTTGATTGTGCATGAGAAAAGTATGGGCCAATTTCCTTGCAATTTCATCCTAAGATTAAAACCAATGGTATGCTGCAAAATTGGTAAAGTTTATTCACATAAAGAAAAATAACATATGCCATGTTTCTCTCCCCATAATGGGTTTTTGGAGGATTTTTTTATGAAATTAGAAAATGTTTTCTTGCTGCTATTCCTGATCATTCCATTTTGTTTAGTATCAAACAAGAGGCATGAGGAAAAACATAAGATAAAATATGCCAATATGGTGACTGAAATACATGATCTGACTGGAAAAGCAATGCTTTAGGTGTAATTTTTATTAATATGACCAAAATGTAAAAGATTTATTAGCTTGTAAGATGAAAAGGATAACTTTTTTTAGAGTTATAAGCTTTTAAATCACTGGAAAAGAATTTTATCTTTGTGAAATTATAAAGGATTTTAAGGGATATTTGAAGCCAAGATCTGCATAATAGGATTGTTTGTACCTTTTTTGGCAGAAAATGCTGTTCTGTTTGTTATATTTAAATATGTTATGGCTCCACAAAATTTTTAAAATTTCATAAAATATACTTAGAGGTTTTAAATAGAAATGCCAGCATATCTTTGTTGTAATAGGTTTTTAAAAATTCTTATAAGTAGGCTAGCCCTGTGAAATGCAACTCAAATTTCTATTTCTTCCATACAATTTTTTAAAATTAAAAAAGAGTGCAGTTTTTTTAAAATTTTAAATGGAAATAAATGTATGCAGATTATTGTTATAATAAAATTTAATTTTTTAATAGGTCAGCCATATGAGATACGACTCAAGAAACTGCATGGCATTTCTGAAATGAAAGGCAAACTCCTTAAAGTAAGTTTAATGAGTAATGTAATAAATAACAGGATTCGTTTTAATTTTAATGTAAATTTTTGCAACAATTTTGTTATTACAATGTTCTATTATAAATTATGTAAGGTAATACTGATTTGAATGTATAGTGATGGCATGGTAATTCAAAAAATAATTTCAATAGATAGGCCCATTTGTGTAGGGGGCATAAAAAAGAAAATGGATATAAATAAAACTTTAGCTAGTATCATAGGTGCAATGTAACTCCATAGGTGCATAAAAGAAGAAATCAGTCTTTCCTTTTAAAATGCATGTAGCACTTTATTGAAGTCAGCTGTATACTTTTGTAACAGAATTATGTATTTTTGTAGAATTGTGCTATGCTGCTTTTCTATGATATGTTGTAGATGGTCATGTAATGTCAAAGTAAACAAATAATAAATAATAAGAAGAATGAGAAACTAACGCTTGAAATATACCATTTAAAATGGTATGCATTGTGATAACGCAGATTTTGGGTAATTAAGGTACTATTAAAACTTTCCACAAAGAAACTGCATTTCAGTTAGAATTAACTCTTTGAAATCCACACCTTTCGCTAACTTGTGTCCTCAAAATACTGAAACGCCCGAAATAGTTTTCCAGTTTCACAGCAATTTCCTCCCCTCCCCGTTCATTAACGCAGAAAATAGGTGTGAAGGTTTCCAGTGACATCCTTTGTACTTTCTAACAAAGATTCCATTAGCCTTGACCCCGTTCTTTATAAAACTATTCTGAAAGTCAGACCAACAAGCCTTTCTGGCTTTGTTATGATCACGACTGAGATTTTGTTTATTTCCGTTATTTTTATAGAAAGGACTAAATTGTTTAAAAATAAATATAATTCTTAAATTTTTAAACTGTTCTTTTATTGCTGTTTAAAGCTTAAAAGCACACTGTACCACAAAAGAATAACAATGAAATGTCACGATCAACCAAAAGATAAGAAATTTCTCAGGACAAGCTGTCTGCAGTAAACTGATACAATGCATTTGGGGAACTGAACCTGCTACTACATGTCTTAGGGGAGGGAAGAAAACAAGATTACAATCTCGGCCGTTTTCGGGCAGTTCTGGTTATTTCAATGTAGGGCAGTGTGGTGTGGATTGGATGCGAAGGAGTTAATGGTACTTCCTTAAGCTTCCTAAATCAGCTCCCAAGATTGAATTGATGACCAGTCAAGATATCTTGCCATTGCTATGTGTTACATCTTAGTTAATTAGCAATTAAATTTTAGGCGCCGATATAATAAAGAAGTACCGAATAAAGTGTAATAATTAAGTAAAAATTGAGACTAAGTAAATTGCTCATCTAGATTTAAATTACATTGCAAAGTTATTTGCAGAGACATTAGGTTATTTTTTGGAAGCAGGCAAGATGAAAAAATAACAGCGCCTTAGCCGGGAATTGAACCACGGACCTCTCAATTACACGCTGAGCATGCAGACCACTACACCGCAAAGGCTCGCTAAGAAGGCGGGAGAAATACCTTATATATTTAAAGTTAATAGAAGTGCTTTTGATAATAAATGGTCTAATACATATGACATAATCTGTAAAGCTAATGATAATACATGCAATTTTATGTTTTGCAAAGAGGATTTCATACATAATTTTATCCATTACTACAGAAACTGATTCTTCTGCATGTAATTTATATAAAAATTATGTGGAATGTTTATTTAATACTTAATATTAACTTTAATTAATTAAGTACATCCAGTTCTTTTATTTATTCATTTGGCTTTGCATCCACTTTTTTACTGAACAAAGTTTTCACCTTTAATTTGTAGACATTTACAGTTTTATCATTTTTTTAATTACCATATTTGACGGCATATAAGACGCACTTTTTTTCTTAAATTTGGTCTAAAAAAAGTTACCTGTATCTTATCTTCCTAAATTTGGTCTCAAAAAAGTTACCTGCGTCTTATCTTATCTTCCTAAATTTGGTCTCAAAAAAGTTACCTGCAAAGGACACAGGTTAACTTTTAGTACTGAATGCTATTTTTAGCCCGGATAAAGATCTAGACACACATAAATTTTTCTACATCTACATGTGTGTGGCCTTCTAAATAAGGGTGCGTCTTATATGCCAGTGCGTCTTATATGCCGTCAAATACGGTACTTAAAAATTCACTGCATATTTTTTGTTTTATAAACAGGAAAATAACAGCTTGTTGCATGTATTTATTTTGGTTTATGTTTGATTTTGCACGCACAGTTCTTTTAGCCCCCTTATTTTTTTTTAACATGTTTGCATATTTATCATAATTATAGAGTGTTTTGCATGTTGGTTTCCAAGAACGTAGGCTCCAGTTCCGAGAAAAATTGGAAATTTTTGCATGGCAGAGCCAAAGGCCTTCAGAACGAATTTTAGATATTGGTAAAACTATTTATTTACTGAAGTAATTTTTGATTTATCTATATAAATATAATTATTCTGGCTAGTAACTAATAATAGTTAATTGAAATCACTATTATAATTTATTATGCCTTTCTTAATTTTTAGATCTTTCATTATCATATGGTATATTTGATGTAATTCCTGATTCAAAGAACATAAATTGTTGTGAATTTATGTGGGATCCTACCAGGGAAGCCTCTGTGTTTCTAAAGGTATTTAAATAGTTTTATAATTAAATTATGGTTAAACAATAATCTATTTTAAAAATCTTGCATATGGTATAGCATTACGATAAGGTAAAAAGTTAAGTAAAGAAGGGAATGAGAAGTTGTTTTTAAACCTTGAAACAAATAGCAATTCTCATATCTTTCATATTTGCTTAACTGCTCTCCTTATGTAATAGTAGAACTGAATTGAATCTTAAAACTAATGTTCTTTTCTCATAAATCTTGTAATATAAAACATCCTGTTGATTGACATCTGCAACAACAACAAGGGGAGAAAAGGAAAGAAACTTTAAATTAATAGTTTCAACTAAATTATAAAGGTATTCATGTGTTTAGCCACTTGGAGGAGTGAGAATAGTGTTTCATGTCTGGTAATTCTTCGGGAGGCATGATCAAAGTTTGACACAAGTACATACAATTTATCTATGAGATACTAAACTATTTTTTTATTTAATTAAGTACTAAAAGTCATTGAAAAATAATGTATGTGTAGAAAATATTGACAGATTATTATCTTATATCATATGCCATTTAATACATTTATACCTTTAAATATATCATTTTAATACCAGTATAATTTAAAATGTGAAATAAAAAAAATTTGAAGTATCCACATTCAGAATTACAATTTATATGTAAAATTTTATTTGATATAATAAAACTTACATAAATTCATCAGAGCATTTTAACATTATTGTACTCATTAGTCTTCAAATTGCATCATTTGTCTTGATTTATAGTCAAATTACTGTAAATCCTATCAAAATGACCACTTCTGTAAGATACTTACTACAGTCAAAAGTCGTTAATCCGGACTCGTCGGGACTTCGGCGATTCCGGATTATCGATTTTTCCGGATTATAGATCATCAGTTTAAATCTGGTAAGATGGCATGCAGAAATTAAAAAATTAAAAATATGAAACCGTAATTTATGAAATAAAGAACAATTATGATCTAAAGGGTATCAAAATTTACAAAAAGAAAAAGCTTAATATTTATTAATTTACTTTATTAAACATTTCCTTCAATGTAAGTTGCTTCGTTTCATGTGATAATACTTTTCTCTTTAATTCTATTAAACAGACATAATTTCTTGTTTAGTTACAAAGTTCCAAGTTGTTTAGTTACAAAAGTTGTTCAAGTCCTATAATTGCTGTGTTGAGAATACGGACTAATTTGTCAATCGAAATGTTTTCGTTTTCAATAACCTCTGGGTCACTTTCTTCACTATCCGAAACGAATTATAATGACGAGGAACTTGATTTAAATCATATCAAAGACGGAGTATATGGAGATGAAATACTACACTTAGTACCGAATTATAAACCAAATAAAATAAAAACATCTGCTCTGAAGATAAGGATAGTGCTGACAGATCAACTTCCAATCCCCAGCGTGAAATTGATAAACAGATTTCGGATTTCAAAACATACTTTCGCTTTGTAGATACAAATTACATATTAGTAAATATATATCAGAAATTCTATTTGACATAATCTTTCTAATCTATCATAATCTAATAATGACGTTTCTGCCCCCCCCCCTCTGCCGCAGAGCAGCGTGAAATTGATAAACAGATTTCGGATTTCAAAACATACTTTCGCTTTGTAGTAAATATATATCGGAAATTCTATTTGACATAATCGAAAGTTTCAAGCTTACTTTTATAAAAATTGCTCTAACAGTCTGCAAAAAATAATAAGCCGGATCCAATTCGAAAGATTAAGGAACAACGCAATCTGCAACATTAACTGAATTAGATAACTTTAGCTTAGCATATAACCCCGTTACACATTAAATGCGCATGCGCACAAACATATTCGCAGCTGTAAGGGTCTTATGCGCTCTCGTAAACGCCTGTGCACATGCGTGAACGCGACGCATGCGCAGAAAGTTTGTAGCTTTGAGGTCCGGATGATAGATCATTCCGGATTATGGGTGTCCGAATTAACGACTCTTGACTGTACTGATGAAATTAGGAATATAATATGTAAAAATTACATTAAATAGTTTAGAGCATTTTAAAGAAATGCTGCAGTTATGCATGGGAAAGTGCATTTTACAATTAACATTTTGTTGATAATTTCATGAGTTTGAAGACAAATGTTTTGTGCAACATTTTGCAACTATGTTTTGTTTTCTGTTAAATAACTTCATATCTTTTTCCTTTAAAGAAGCTATTTTCTTTAATTTCTGAGCCTTTACTACCACACAAACTCTATATCAGTTGTTTGTCTTTTACAGTTTTTTCAACAATGTGCATTATCTTTCTGAATAAATTTACATCTGTTAAAATTAAATTAAATTAAATTAAAAAGGATGCAGAGGAAGAGAAAAGGATATCAGTCAAAAAGATAATTCTGCGTATAATTTTATCTTTTCCAAGTATGTCTGAAACATGACCCAATAGTTTTCTTCTTGTTATTATTTTATTCCTGCTAGCTATGAAATTATTTGTTAATTAATCCCTGCTGAAAAAATATTCCCCCTCCCCTTCTGTATAGAATTCCTTGTCAAAATTATATTCATGTGTTTTAAATCCGTTTTGTTCTGAATACAAATGACATTGCCTTTCCTCTGTGTATTAACTTTTATCAATGTCAGTTTGATCTCTAAAACTATTACCATTATGTTTGTAATTATCAGTAAAATGTATTTCATGTGTTTTATTTAACACATGATGACAAGTTTTAAGATTCAATTCAATTAAATCAAATTTACCTTTAGAAGAAATCATTCTTAAGATCCTAGATAGCAAGATTCTGAAAACTTAACATGATTAAACATGGCATATTTGACAAATAAGCAACAATGAAATAAAAAGAAAAAGAAATTGAAAACAAAACAACAGTTATTATACTATAAATTAAAAAGATGTTTTCAGATTAAATTTCATAATTTAAAAGAAATTGAAGAAAGGTACATGAGTAAGTGTTATGTATCTCAATAAACATCATACCTCTAAGTTTTATTATGAGTAAGTGTTATGTATCTCAATAAACATCATACCTCTAAGTTTTATTGCATTTCTAATACACAATGCTTATTTTATTTGTTTACACTTTGAACAAAATACATGTGTTCTTAGCGCAGAAAGTTTTCACATTTTAAATATCGCATTCGCGTTCTTCTGTGCTTGGCTTGAGGGCATTCATCATATCTTTTATACTTAGTTGCTTAGAATTTCATATATTTGTTTGAATTATTCCTCGAAACTTCTGCTCTTTTTTTACATGCAGTACGTAAGTTTCTCGGTAAAGTATTAATCTCTGATCATTGTTCAATACATTTTTTTAATTAATTGTAATGCTAAGTCCCTCAAAAACAGATATTTGCTTCTGTATCTAGTTGGCGGATTAGCAGTTGAAAGTAATATAATTCGAGCATTTATTGCAACAACATTCAGTGCAGAGAAGAAATAATTGAATAACTTGCTACCATTTCATCCACAGTATCCACTGCTCACTTAGTCACATTATAAAAACATAATTTCTGGCATTTTCTTTTCACCAGTAGTATCATCTATAGCATCATCATTATGTAATGTTGAAAGCATAAAAGCAGTTTTTCCTTTCTTAAGACATAATAAATTAATGTTTTGACTTCTTTGAGACCAAACAGTGTAGAAAATATTCCTATTTTCATCTTCAGTTTCCAAAATGCAGTCTTCATCACTTTCAAATATTTCTAATAAATCTCACAGCCATTGCATTTCCAATTCATAGACAGTCATTCTTTTTGCCATATTGCGCTTAGAAATCTTTAAAAATTTAATTGCAAATACTTTAAAAGTCATTTGCGAGTAGAAATATTTACTGTTGCACTCTAGAAATAAATTTCTGAAATAAATATTCAGTCAGAAAAACACTTATGCGAACAGGCGGGTGGGTGTGTCATACCCCACGTGCAATAAAATCCTGATAAATCTTTTTTTGAAACACACAGGCAATGGAAAAGCAGTTCTGAAAGTCAACCACTACTAGAAACTCAGCTACTGAATGCAGCACAAAATTTCAGTTTCACAAGTTAGGAATATTCCAGTTTTTTCTCTAGTTGGGGTATAATACACCCCACGTGCTTTCCCACAAGCTAATCTGAACTTATTTTGTAATTTCTTTCTGTTCTTCAGGGTTATTGAAACATTGTTCAGGATCACTGCGGTTTTTAAAATAGAAGTTATAAACTTTTTTTCCTATATTGTCTTGTAATTAAAAAATTCAATTTGAATATTGTGCACATATAAAGAAGTACTGTAATAAGAGTTTACTGAAATTTATTGACAATTTCTATATTAATACTTTTACATTAAATGGAAAAATTCTAAAAAGCATAAAATTGAAAAATAATTATTTGATTGGCATTTAATTAACTGAAGTAATATATTTGTCATATTTGGGGATCTATTAATGAATGAATACTTTCTGGTTGCCTAATGAACAGGCTAATTTTCAGCTCATAGTTGTGTATTTAAATTTGGGAAATTTGTATGTTGTTTTCCGGAATGCTGGATTTATTTGAAAGTAAATTAGACAATTTTCACAAAATGACCACAAAATAAGTTGTAAAAGAATTAATTTCATTTAAATAATATAACAGGATTCTGCATTTACATCTGAAAGTGTTTATAATGAAAATAGATGACCTAAAAATCACTAATAAGTTCACACTATGAATCTTAACTTCTACTTGAGATTTTTAGCTGAGCAGTTGAGCAAAATTTTAGTAGGATATATGATGTAAGATTCTAGATTAATTAACTGTACTTTGTTGGCTTTACTTGAACTCTGAAGCGACTATGCATTGAGTTCAAACTGTATCAATGACATGCTGTGAAAGTAGTGAAAAGACTCTTCTATTCAACTCAAGAAGAATTTACAGACAGTACTTCTGGTTCTCACAGAATTAGACAGTACTTTTGACTGAAATTCAAAATAGAAACACAAAATTAAATAATTAACCAAAGCTGCTCAGAGATAATTAATGCAAATTGGCTCTTAGCTCCAACACCGATGTGCACAAAACCGAAATTAATATCCATGGCAATAAAATATGCAAGCTTAATTAAGACACAATAACACGCCGAATAAATACTAATTCAGAAGTCAAACAACAAAAATCAGCGTTAATTTACAAAATTTTCACAGGACTAGTTTCGATGGTTTTACCGAACCATCATCTTCAGCTGCAAAACCGCAAATGAACAAGATAGGAAATAATGATTAGATAAGATAAGAAAGCCTGGACAAGAATAAGCAAGTGGCGCCATCTGTTGGCGAAACCAGAACTAAAACATAATTTCTCTAAAAGCCGAAGGCAAATTTGGATTGGAATTAGGATCGTTAACTAGAACAGAAAGATTTTTGAATGTGAAATGCCTCTAGAAAATCCAGTTCTCCAATGGAAGATGTTTTTGAATAATTTTGGCAGCAGAAAAATTGAAAGTGTGATTTTCGGACCAACAATGTTGAGCAACAGAAGACTTCTGTGTTTCCTTTTTTCTAACATATGCCTCATGTTCTTTGACGCGAAATTTTAAGGCTCTCTTAGTTTGGCCAATGTAAATTAAACCACACTGGCAAGGAATCCTATAAATACCCCAGGAATTCATATCCGGAATGGGGTCCTTGAGTATAGAAGTTGGAATTTTATTGATGGGAGAATAAACAACCCGAAAGTTAAATTTCTGCAAAATATGTGCAACTTTATAGCTAATTGATGGAAAGAAGGGAATGACAACAGAATTTTTATAATCTCCTAAAATAAAGAGTGTGGCTTTTAGTGTGTTGAGATGAGAATTTTTTAACTGCTTGATTAATAATGTTGGGGTGAAAAGCCCCTGTCAATAGCTATTGCTTTTAAATAATTTAGTTCTTCATCAAGGGCTAGTTTGGAGGAGCAAACTTGAAGAGCACGGAAAACATAGGAATAAAATGAAGCTAACTTTTGTTTAGTCGGATGACATGATTTAAAGTGTGGTGGAAGGCAAACCGATGAAGGTTTACGGTAAAACTGTAGTACTGAAGTTGGATGTGTTACGTGTGACCAGAATGTCGAGAAACGGAAGAGAATTGCAAGTCTCAAGTTCAAAAGTGAACTGAATAGCAGGATCAATAGAATTCATTGTTGAAAAGAACTTATTTAAATCATCTTTATTACCTTCAAACAGGGTAAAAGTATCGTCTACGTAGCGGAAACCATGCCGGGAAGTTTAAAGTTTCAAACAATTTTGATTCATAATAATGCATGTAGATATCAGCCAGGATGGGACTGAGGGGGCTTCCCATGGCTAATCCCTCAGTTTGCTTGTAATATTTATTTTGGAAAACAAAATGTGTTTGTTTCAAACAGAGTTGAGTGAGAGAAAAATTAGCTCATCAATTTCGATGCAAGAGAAATGAAATTCGCGAAGTCTGGTTTCTAGACATCTTAATGCACCCTCCACTGGGACATTGGTGAATAATGATTTACATCAAAAGAAACCATGAGTAAATTACGAGGAGAAATGTTTTAACCTTTTTTACAAACTCTATTGAATTTTTTTATGGTGTGTAAATGTTATTGTCTAATAGAGTGGAAAATCTAGAAACTAAATATTTAGCTAATGGATACGAGGCAGAGTACCTAAATTTGATACAATAGGGCGGAAAGGAAAAGGAATACCACTTTTATGAATTTTGGGAAGAGCATATAATCTGGCACAATTCGCAACAGATGGGATAAGCGAATGTTTTAAGTTGCTTGAAATGATTTGCGAAGATTTGATCGCAGTTTTTATTTTGGATAAGTCCGAAGGTGAAGGATCTTTAGGGATCGGATTATATGGTCCTTCGTTTAAGAGTTTAGTGACACCATCGATGTAAGTGTTCTTATCCATGACGACTATCTGGCCACCTTTGTCGGCCTTTGAAATGACAATATCCGGGTTAGAATGAATCGCGCATTGTAGCTCTTTCTCTCGCAGTTAGATTTGGTTTCAAAGGTTTTATTATTGAATTTCACATTATGAGCGATAAGATGCCTAATCATTTCTTTCTGTGAATCTGAAACTTTACTGAACTTGAAAGCTTTTTTCGATAGGAGCCAAAATCTTTGGAATCGAGGGTTTACAGGTTTGTGAGAAGTTAAAATTATATTTTAGAATTCTCTCTTGTTCTTCTGAAAGACTAACATTAGAAATATTAACTATTGGCTTGATGTTTACAATGGGAAGATTTTTTGAACTACTTGGAACTGGAAGACTGTAAAAGAAGTTTTTCGAATTTAACTGCAAGGGTGTTTTTATGACGGCAACTGCATTCTCCGTTCTAGACCAAGACTTTTGTTCAAGGGCAGTGAATTTTGGATATGTTTTAGCGAGTTCCAGATGAAGCTTATAGAGTTCATGTTCAATTTTGGACAATTGTTGACGTGTATCCCTTATCACGGACCGAAGTAAGGCAAGTTTGCAATTTAACAGAATTCTTGAAACGCGACTCGAAGGTTTTTGATTAGATTTGATTTGAATAAAAAATTGGGGATCAATTTTTTACATTTACATTTAAGTAAAAAGTCAAGATGATTCAGGAATTTTTGCCGTTTCAGGCGTAATTTAGTGAAACGATTAACGGATGAAGGCATGATAAACAATGCAGAAAATCAAACTAAAATTAACTGAGCAATAATAAAGTACACACAAAATAGCAGAAAAATCCCTCACTGAAATGAATAGAAAACAAAATGTTTGTATGCAAAATGCATGAAATCAGACAAACAAAGCACAATATCCAAATGAACAAAACATAAACATAACTTGAAAATTGCAAAAATGTACTCACCGAAACTCCTACAATCACAACTTTAAACTTCCCGGCATGGTGCCGCTACGTAGACGATACTTTTACGCTGTTTGAAGGTAATAAAGATGATTTAAATACAGTTCTTTCAACAATGAATTCTATTGATCCTGCTATTCAGTTCACTTTTGAACTTGAGACTTGCAATTCTCTTCCGTTTCTCGACATTCTGGTCACACGTAACACATCCAACTTCAGTACTACAGTTTACCGTAAACCTTCATCGGTTTGCCTTCCACCACACTTTAAATCATGTCTCCGACTAAACAAAAGTTAGCTTCATTTTATTCCTATGTTTCCGTGCTCTTCAAGTTTGCTCCTCCAAACTAGCCCTTGATGAAGAACTAAATATTTAAAAGCAATAGCTATTGACAGGGGCTTTTCACCCAACATTATTAATCAAGCAGTTAAAAAATTCTCATCTCAAAACACACTAAAAGCCACACTCTTATTTTAGGAGATTATAAAAATTCTGTTGTCATTCCCTTCTTTCCATCAATTAGCTATAAAGTTGCACATATTTTGCAGAAATTTAACTTTCGGGTTGTTTACTCTCCCATCAATAAAATTCCAACTTCTATACTCAAGGACCCCATTCCGGATATGAATTCCTGGGGTATTTATAGGATTCCTTGCCAGTGCGGTTTTAATTTACATTGGCCAAAACTAAGAGAGCCTTAAAATTTCGCGTCAAAGAACATGAGGCATATGTTAGAAAAAAGGAAACACAGAAAGTCTTCTGTTTGCTCAACATTGTTGGTCCGAAATCACACTTTCAATTTTTCTGCTGCCAAAATTATTCAAAAAACATCTTCCATTGGAGAACTTGATTTCTAGAGGCATTTCACATTCATAAAAATCTTTCTGTTCTAGTTAACGATCCTAATTCCAATCCAAATTTGCCTTCGGCTTTTGGAGAAATTATGTTTTAGTTCTGGTTTCGCCAACAGATGGCGCCACTGCTTATTCTTGTCCAGGCTTCTTATCTTATCTAAACATTATTTCCTATCTTGCTCATTTGCGGTTTTGCAGCTGAAGATGATGGTTCGGTAAAACCATCGAAACTAGTCCTGTGAAAATTTTGTAAATTAACGCTGATTTTTGTTGTTTGACTTCTGAATTAGTAATGCAAGCTTAAATTAGGCAAACAATGTGGCCGAGTTTCAGAACACGTTCTGTCTGAAGTAAATCAGATACCAGCTTAAATACAAGTAGTTTCCTTCTACCCTACTTTGCGTATCATGGGAAACTGAAGTATCATTCTGCCTGGAAATGGAATCGAGGAAAGATAGAAAAGCTAAATAACTGAACAAATCTGGCTAGTTTAAAACTAAAATGACATTCCTTACAATGATTATAGGCTAGTCTTTTTCCTTTAAAATTTATTTATTTATTTATTTTTTATTTTCAGTCAAATACATATTTACATACATTAATTAATTTTAATTTTGTATGTAAATATCTGCATGTTAAAATGTATATTTTCTCTTTAGATTTAAATATATTTGAATTCAAGAAAAATTCTTTTAAATTTATACCCCCAACCTAATTTTAATTGTGTTTTTTGGCACAGTCATATATGAATAATTAGGTAACAACAGGGCTTAACTTTTAAAATTAGAAGTGTCAGGCCTTGTGGAATGTGGTCAGGAATGATGAACAAAAATAAATAAATAAAATAATTAATAATTTAAATTAAATAAAATATAGAGATACATAAAAATCTATAAATAAAATTATTGACTAATAGTTAAATAAGAAGTTAAAATATCCAAGCTGTTCTTATTTGGGGCTTCAGCAGTAATTGCAGTTATACTTGACAACTGAGAAGTACTAAAGTTGGGCTTTGGTCGAATTTAAGATGAGGTGAAATTTCTGTTGGTGTTATACGAGTGCCACATTTATCAATTTACTGATGCATTTGCAATATCTTAGTTTATTAATATATTTGGTATTTTTAATCTTCTAGATTAATTGTATCAGTACTGAATTTACTTGTAAACGCAGAGGAGGTGAGAAAGGAGTACCTTTTCGCATATTAATAGAGACATACAGTCACTGGGAAGATCCCCCTCGCAAGTTAGATGCAGCATCATGCTTAGTAAAAGTATTTAAGGTATACTTATCATTTTTGAATAGTTGTTTAAAAATATGTGGTCATAAAAAAAAAGCTTTTATTATTTTGATTGCTAATTTATCAAATAATTTTAGATGGTTTCAGTGTTTCAACCAAAATAAGTGCTTGATGCTCAGTGCAATATTTTTTTTTTTTTTTTTTTTTATATGTGATTGGTAATTTTATCCTGCATAGATAAAAAGTCTGCGTCTGTAGCGTTTAGGACTCCTGATAATTTTTGCCATTTCTTCATTCACTCAGCAATATTTCTGTTTTGGAGGAAGAAGGGAAATTGTAGCACAAGTAAAAAGATAGTTGGTATTGATAAGTAATGGTAGCTTGGTAGAGTATAGGTCTGGAAGTTAATGGAGTAAATATAAGAAAAGTAGTAGAACTCTCATGCTAAATTCAGATTTTTTCCACACTAAATTCAAATTGTAAGTTGTATTTACAGCATGGAATTTGGCATTATAATGCATAAGAATGAAGATTTTATAGTTGGTTATACTATTTAGCATTCATTTTCGATAGCCATCTTCTATTTAATTAGAACTTCTTTGTGGTAACTACATAGTTTTGGAGAGCTGTAAAGTATTAGATCGATCATAGATTATCAAAGTTGAAGTAAATGATTTCTTTAGGATATTAAATTTTATGCAGAATCTAGGAGTTTCATTCATGTGCATGATCTATTTTGATATTTTTTTGTACAATATATTTTGGGGTTAACTCTTTAGGGTTATTCTTTGAACATGTGTAGACCGAAGTGATATTTAATGAATATTTAATGATGCTTTTGGGAGTAATATGAAAATGATTGAAAAATAATAGAGATATACAGAATGAGTAAATATTGCATATAAGATGTTAAGAGTGTTTTTTTTTCCTTCATCGTCTTGTTCATTTATTTTCCACCATTCTTCATTTTCTAACCTGTTATATCATTTTGATCCATTGTCCTGATGTTTATTGGAAGGAAGTACCATCTATCATATGAGATGTCATTCCACAATATATATCTTTTGAGGCATGTTATTCATTTCAAAAATAGGTAATTTTGTTCAGTAGCTGTAATAAAAAGCATGCTTTAAAATATTTTTGCATTTGCTGCTTAGTTCAACACATGAGTGCTATTTTTCCAGCGAGGGAAATGATTATATTCAGTAATATATGAAACTATACAACCATACTGAAACTGAATGAAACTGTTTCATACAGGTTGCTCTTTCACTGACTACATACAGATATTTGTCAGATTTATCAGCCACTCAGCTGGTAGAGTGGGTAGTGACACTGACTGCCATATCGATAGGTTTGATTTTTAGTCCTGGGAAGACATGGATGTTTGTATATCTATAGTGTCTGTGTGATCTGGTACACTAAAAATATACGGTGAGCCGAAAATTCTGTTGAGAGATTGGTTGTAGTGAAAGAAGGGTGGGAAACCCACAGATTGTCTCCTGGCATGTTCTCTCTTAAAAATGGGGCAGAAGCTTAACAGTTATTTAACTAGCTTCAGCAATACGTCAACACTTGTGGTAGGCACCACAGAGGTGCTGGCTTAACTTCCACCTTTGGGCCTAGGACTTTCTACCATTGCTCTTTTGCCTGTAGCTGATTCACTATTAGCCATTTCGCCATCAAGTAGAAATGAAATGCTTAATAAAGTTTGCTTATAATATATATAATTACTTGTTTACAAATTATGAGATTTAAAGAAATTACACATAGTTAAAAAAAATTATGTCAATATCAAATATAAAAAATAATCACATTTCATAATTATGGGTTAAACCTCTGAGGTATTCTGTTATATTTTTGTTTCCAAAATTGTTCAGATACAGTGTTTACATGAGTTAGTTATCCATTTGAAGTACTAGAGAAAAAAATGAGTTTTAGTATAAAATTAGAATCATAACTCATTTTTTAATTATATAAAGACAGTACCTTTTAAATATTATTATCTTAAAAATGGTTGATTTATTTTGAAATCTCAAAATAATTTCTTCGTTATGAACATTATATTATGTTTAATTTTATTATGCTTATTCATTATTTATATCTATATTTAATTATATTCATCTTAATTATGAATGCCTTTAGTTATTGATTGGAATTAACTAAATACTGGATTATTAATGAATTTATTATTTTAGTAATTCTAGAAGATGTATGTAATTATATAAGCTTTTTTTTTTCTCCTGAAATTGAATGCACTCAGAGATATACAATAATTAAAAAAAATTAGATATAATCTAGGCATCTAAAGAAAAATAATGTCTTGACAGTGAAACAGCAGTGGTGAATAGCCCCATTCCTGTATCTCTCAGATTTATTACTGCCAGTTCCTTCATAATATCATAAAAATGATTCAAGTATATATTGCATGAAGCTTATTTGAGATTCAGATATCTGGTATGATAAAAAAATAGTATCGCTAGAAATTTAATTAATATTTAAAAGTAGCATGAATATTGAAGTAGAAGAAATATGTATTCTAGTTGAGAAATTGAATACTGATTTATAAACCTTTGAGGATAAAAGCTTTTTAGATTCACGTGTACAACATTGTATTTATATAATATTTTTCTGCCATAAACTTCAGATTATTAGAAGGATTTCTAGATAATCCAAGAGAGCAAAGAATTTTAATGATGGACATAGTAAGCATCAAGTGGTGATAAGATCACATAAAAGCTCTCATTTATCTGAAAGAACCTATATAAAAAATTATCAGTTATGAATGGTACTTTTTAGTAACAAATAACAATAAATGAAGAATTATTATGAGAATAATCAATTATCTTAGGTAAATATTTCATTATTTTATGTATTATTATTTATTGTGCTCTTGAAACTAATGGTGTTCTCTTCCCCCCTTAAGAAACTTCTATTCTCAAGATTGTGAAAATAAGAATGAACAATAAATTTTATACTTTGTTATTTTCATGCATGCAATTTAGTTCTTTTTTGGTATTCCATGTTTCATATATATAAGTGTGAGAAATTGATTTCTTTTACCATAAGCATTTCAAAGTATTTTCCTGACAGGCATACATTATGTGAAATATTAGCTCTTAATAAAATCATTCAAAATTAAAACCTTTATTTATGTATCTAAATTTTAAAATATTTAATTACCTTATTTTGTTTTCATACTAAGTCTAAAGGTGCAGACAGAAAACACAAATGACAGAGAGAAATATGAAAAACTTCCACAAGCTGAACAGGTAAATCTCTATATAATATATATATATATATATCTTTGTTACATGCATGAAAATACTTTTTTTATAGACAGAAATGTAAAAGTCAGTTCTGAGCTAATATTTATTAGGATTTTTTAGTTTTCATACCTAATGAGAATTTCCATGTATAATTTAATAAAATTATTATGTAGGCCCTCAGATTACTTATTATTATTAAATTACATTTAAAAATTTTTGCCAAACTGTTTTAAATCTTAAACTAGCATACTGAAATATGCTACAGCAGTAAAATTTTTAAGCAGAAAAGTGCAGGAAACCACGGTAAAATAAGAAAACAGATTATTTAATGTAGAAGTTAAATCAAGATTTCTCTTGAAATAACCTATTTTCAAAGTATGTTTATGAAAGGGTACTCTGTTACAAAATTTAGTGTAAAGATGAAAAATCATCAACAACAAATATATAACTCTTTGAAAACCAAAGCCTTTGCTAACCTGTTTGTTCAATTGCCAAACCACCCAAAATGGTTCTTGAGAGTCACAGCAATTTCGTTTCCACCCCATCCATTAGCGCACAAAGTAGAATGAAGATTTCAAATGACATACTTTCTACTTCTAACAAATAAAGATAAGAAATGACAAGTAAATCCTTTTAGGGCAAGCTGTTTGTCAAAGGACGGGAATTGACAACATCTTCAACGTTATATAACACAGTGAGTAATTCTTCGTAATCTGGGCTTGCCCTGTCTAAAATACTCTTCAACATATCTTTTATAATTCTAATCAGTCTTTCCCACCATCCTCCCCACCACCATGCCGATGTAGGAGGATTAAATTTCCATTTAATTTTCTTAATCGTGGCTTTTCCCTCCACTTCCTTCCAATTAATTTTCTGGAAAAGGTTATTAGTTCCCATAAAGGTTATTAGTTCCCATAAAGTTAGTAATATTGTCTGAATATGTAATACTTGGTCTTCCTCTTCTAGCTATGAATTTTCTCAGGCTTTGTATAAATGCTTCTATGCATAGAGTAGTAACAATTTTCAATGTGTATTGCCCGATAAACAGCACATGTAAATATCACTATCCATGTCTTCTTCTGGCCTCGAAGGGATAAAGGTCCAGCCAAATTGACACCCATAATCTGGAAAACTGCAGAGTCTGTTACTCTCTCCTCTGGTAATGGTATGGGGTTTACGTCAAAATTGGTTTCCTTAAATCGTCTACAGCGACCACAGTTTTTTATTACATGACGAACTGTACGCCGGCATTTGAGAATCCAAAATTTTCTCTCTGAATTGCCATTATTAATTATTAATAAGGCTTGAATACCTGCATGGGAATTTTCCTCATGTTTTCCCTTGATTAACAGGTTGGTAATAACATGGTTGGGAGGAAGAATTATCGGAAATCAAAAATTTCTGCTGTCGTTTCTCTGAGAGATCTTTGTCATAGTTCGTATCAGTCATTTCTCATCCACAAAAGGTTGCAATGCTACAATTGTTTTGTCTTCATGAGATTCAAAACTTTCTTCTTGGATTAATTTTAAAAGAATATTTTCTGCTTCTTCATATTCTGCAAAAGTAATGTTACCGAAAATACGATTTTTAGGTAAATTTCTGGCATTTTTGCAGAATTGTTTTATCCAAGCTATTATCATTACTATATTTTTATATGAAGAATATCTGTTTTAGAATAAATCCCTTGTATTTATAACATTGGTAGCTGTTATGGCATATTTTCTTATCTCCAAATTTATTACAGATTCATCAGGTTTGCATTAGTTCATAATAAGTGTCAATCCTTAAGTTTTCATTCAGCCATTCTGACCCGTTCCACCACTGAGCCCTCACTAATTGTCATACTCTACATCCTCTTGAAGCTATATCTGCTGGGCTCTGTGAACCTGAAATGTGATAGCAATCATTTATGCTACTTAGTTTTCTAATTTCGTTATTGGCCATGAATGTAGCCCAAACAGCTTCTCGTTTAATCCAACAGAGAGCATTGCTGGAATCTGCTCAGTAAAAAGTTTTAATATCCGTTAGATGCAAGTCTCTTCTTACCACTGCTGCTAGTCCACCAATTAGGCAAGCTAATAATTCTAAGCGAGGTATTGTCACTCCCATTGGAACTATTCTGGACTTAGTTTGCACTAACTGACAATGTATGCTTTCATTATTTTCTATTCTAATAAATATGCATGTTGCATAGGCCATTTTGCTGGCATCACAGAATATGTGCAGACTCCATTTATCAGGTTCATAAATTTGAGAGCATTTCGCAGTCCAACAAGGAATTTTAATATCTTTCAAATCAAGAATTTGACTATGCCATAAATTAAACTTCTTCAAAATCTTCTCTGGCACTTCTTGATCCCACGAGAGTTTTAATCTGCAACATTCTTGTAATAATAATTTCCGCAGCAGTGTCAAAGCTCAAGAGAATCCAATCGGGTCGAAAATGGCTTGTGCTAAGGATAAAATTTTCCTTTTCGTTACTAATGGTACTTCTTGAGCAGGAATTTCTTTTGTGTCACAACTGAGAGTATCTTCCTTTACATCTCATACAAGGCCCAATACAGAAATACAATTTGTTGTATTTTCTCTTGCCTTTAAAGAAGTTTCAGTTTCTGAGAATAATCCAGGATCATAATTTTTTTCAGGTGTATTGTACTGTCAGTCCCAAAGCTCAAATTTAGCATCTGACATTATCCGTTTTGCCAAATTCATGAATTTCTCAACTTCTTCAAAACTGTCGAAACTGGTCACGCAATTATTGACGTAAAATGATTCTTTCAATTTCCTGGCCGTTTCTTGAGTTTCCTTCTCCACATTATCCAAATGATATGCTATAGTAGCACCTAATAAAAAAGGGCTTGAAGTTACTCCAAACGGTAGTCTGCAATGTCTATAGATCAGTAAGTTATTTGGATCGCCATCTTCATACCACAAGAACCTCAAATAATCTCTATCTTGTGGAATCAAATTTATCTGCAAAAAGGCTTGACGTATATCAGATGTTACTCTGAATCTTTTCAATTGAAATTGTAAAAATATAGAAGGTATCAGTCCTAACAGATTGGGACCCTTTTCTAAGCAAGAATTGAGAGAAACAAAATTCTTTTCATGTACTGAAGCGTCGAATACTGGTCTGATTTTAGTATTGGAAGAATGCTTTATTACTGGATGATGCAGTAAATATAGTCCGACTTGATCTTGCAATGGAACTTCTTCTATAATACCTAATACCTTGACGAATCCAGTCCTTAAAAACTTCTTGATAATAATTCAAGTGACTGTTAGCAACAAGTTTACAAACAGTAGTCAAAACTCGTTTTTTCAGAGAGTTCTTGACAATTAGAAATTGGCGGATGTGTTTCCAACCATGGCAACGATACTGTGTATCTACCATCTTCATCTCGTTTTATGGTTTCACAAACTTTATACAACGTAGCCACTAGCAAGTCTTGTTTTAGAAAGCTTTCTGGAGGATCGGTGATACCAATAGCTTCAAGCTTCCAAAGATCAGCAACTGCACTTTCATTAATGAACAAGGATAAAACAGAAACAGTATCTTCATGTGTATACATACACCTTTGGTAATTTTCCTATTACTGTCCACCCTAAATAAGTTTCAATTGCTGTTAATCCGAAATTCAATTTCCTCACTCTGCCAGTCATCAGCTTCCCAGCAATATCTGCCCAATAAGAAGTTGTATTCAGAAGATATTGACTTCTGAATTAGTATTTATTCGGCGTGTTATTGTGTCTTAATTAAGAAGTTGTATTTTTATAGGTTGCAGTATAGGATCTTCTTTCTTATTGTAGTCACTCAGCCATATTCCTTGTTGTTTAAGTTATTTCATCCACATTCCCTTAGTCACACTCTTTACAGCAGCACATATTTCCTTTTGGTCATTAACTTCAAAAATGCATTTATAAGTACCTTCTATATTACTTATTATCTTGTGATATTTTTTATGTTCCTTCAGTAATTTTGTACCTCTGAAAAGACTAAGTTTCATTTTTCCTTCACCCACTGATTTATACCCCATATCTGATGCCAGTTCTTTCATAATATATGATCTTTGAGACCCAGTGTCAACGAGGGCTCTAATAAGCTGTTGATTCTGATTTCCATGAATTCGGACCTTCAGAGTTTGCATCAGTACTTCAGGCATACTTGTCTGATTCGTCAGAGTATGCCCTGTAATTTCGACCTTCTGATCATGTTTATCCTTTTCGGTTTCCCTGCACTTACTTACGTTTGGACACATAAGCAAATAATATTTGCTAAAACAGTTTGTACACTTCACAAATTTTCTACAATCTTTAGATAAATTACTTGGAGTTAAACGAGTAAAACACACACCTTTCTTTAACAAAATCTGTTTTCTTTGATCTAAATACATACATCTAGCGGATTTACATTCTACACAGTTGTGGTTCTCACCACAAAAAATACAATTCACCTTTTTTGTAGGTTTTGCTTTTGTCAATTCGTTGTTTAAAAGTCCTGCAGCTGTCGGTATTTCATTCTGCCTTCCTCCATGTTTATGTTTCGGAAATGCTTTCGTTTGTGATCGACATTCTACATTAAACCCTTGTCTGACCATTGTTATTCTCTCTTCACCTTCAACTTCTTTCTTCAGAAATGTCATCAAAAGTTCTAATTTGTTTGTTAAACTACCTTTGTCAGCTGAGGCTAAATTTCTTTCCCATATTCTCAAAATATAATCCGGTAAACAGGCTACAACAAGAGGATACAACATACTGGCATATTTCTCGGTTGTAACCTTTAAACTTTCTGACGCACGTAAATGTGTTTCTATTTTATCATACAGTTTAAACACAGAAATTTTATTTGCAGAATTACTACTTTTCATCACTAAACAGAATAGTTCCCTCACATAAACGTCAACCAAAAGATCGTCTCTTCCAAACCTATCTTTCAAATATTCGATAGCTTTATTATAATTTTCAGAAGTAGGTGGAAAACTCTCTACAAGATCTCTAGCTTTAGATCCACGTTCCGTACATTGTAGCAAATACTGATATTTATCATTGGGGTCTATTTCCTGATCTTCATGAATTTTTCTAAACTGGCCCCAAAATCCCTACCATTCTTTCGGTATGCCATTAAACTTTCTTAATTCAATTTTAGGAAGTTTAAATTTCCATTTAACAGCGTCATTTTTATCTTTAGGTAAAATACTTTCCCTTTCACTAATGTTCTTTTCAAGTCTAGTTACTTTTGTTTTAAAATATATAAATTTATCATTGTATGATTCAGTGGTTTCGATTTCTTTTTCAAATTCTTCATTAGAACACTTGGTATCTTTACTATTCAATAACTTTAATATCCAAAGTATTTATCTTTTGCCATTTATCATGAAGTTGAGCGAAAAGAACTGTAATCTTATCAAAATCTAATGTATGGACCTTTAAAAGTTCATCTAAATTATTCGCAGTCTTAGTAAAATTTGTTCTTAAACAACTTCTAAATCGTTTAAGTTCTTCCATAATTGAAATAAAAAATAGTGAGTGTTATTACTGTCCATAAATCAAATTCTTAATAAATAATCCAAAGTTCAACAAATATTCATCATAGAATCAATCATTCAAGTTTTAACAGTGATACTCCCTATTTAAAATAAAAACTCAAAAGTCTCTATTTCACTGTAATAAATTTTGAATTAAAGCTACCCAGCGTCCTGTCGCAGATGCCATTTTGTTACATTACGTAAAAATACAAGATATCAAATTAATAAATTGAATTTACTTTGTACTTAAGTTCAATCTGACTGCTGGGTAGATCTTCACAAATCCAATAATGTGAAGCTATTAGAACAAACTTCATTACAGTCTATTTACAAAATATATACATCACCAAAAATTTTGTTACAGTTCTTCATTTGTTTTTATATGGGACCATTTTCAACTATTTATTTTCAACTATTATTTCAACTATTATTCAACTATTATTTATTTCAACTATTTATTTATCTCAAAAACATCTGCATTGCTCAAGCGCTGTTAGTTAGCGCCCTCTGTCTATCAGCTCGTGGTTTTGTAACAGCAGAAATCTAAGAAAGGGATGTTTTTTAACTTTTAAGATGTTTATTTATTTATTTTTTTTTACTGCGAGAAAAACATTTTTATGTAAGATTTAAGTTTGGACCCCCCTCAAGTGGAAAAAAAAAAAAAAAAAGATCATGAATTTGGAATAAAATTAAATCAGTCTCAGGATCTATATTCTTCAAGGCAAAACTATTTTGCTTCTGCCAAGTATATTTTTAGACTAAAAAAGAGGGCCATTTTTTTTGCATTGATGGTTAAGTCAGTTTATTTGAGTATGGAAAAGCCTCGAGGGCTATCTGCCTAAGACGAGGAAGACATTCATGGAGGACTTTCTGAGAGAAACTGTCTTATACGCACATTACGTATGGGGGAAGGCCACAGGTGGGCCTTTTTGCACTGAAGGAGAACAAATCATTGTGTGACAATTCTTGAAATCAGTAGAATTTTATTCAAGATTTACGGCAATCTATGACTTTTTTTTCCCTTTATATACCTTATTTTAAATGTATGTTTTTTTTTTTTTTTTTTTTTTTTTAAATTTTCTTTTTTTTTTTTCAGTTCTTTTAGTAATTATCTGTTCATTTAAAAATATATTATGATGAAAAATTTAGCTGCTAAAATGCTAGATTAGCATATAAGAATAGGTAATTTTCAATGAAATGACAATTTTCTAAAATTTCAAAAGTCTATATTCTGATTTGCATAGTGATCGATTTTCCAAATGCGAATGTAAGACAATAAATAGGGGTACAAATTTTTTTCTATATGTTAATAATTTTAGTGAAATTATGTGTAAAACTGTACTATTTCTTGCATAACTTAATATGAAAGGCCTCGAGAGAGTGAAGCTCTGTCAGAAAAATAAGTTTACAGGGGTAAGTCCATTTAACATTGAGTCTAACTGCCAAGCTGGCAATTGTTTTTGTGATTAATTTGTTGTCACCAAATCGCCAAACTTGATGCCATTTGGCAACATTGTCCAACCCCTGTGTAACTGGTCCTATCACTATGTAACAGTAACTATATCCACTGTATATAACTGCAACTGTATGTGCCATCCAAAAGTTTTGAAAAATTGAAGGTACTGAAAATTTCTGGGTGGCTGGGGGAAAATATATGAGACCAGAAAGAGCATCCATCGCTCTGGTGACCCGGTGTGAAAGAATAGTCCCAATGTTGCAAATGCATATCCTAAAAGGTGACTAAAATAGGTATCCAGTGACTAGGGTTATACCGAGGTACTTTGCTCCTGGAGATTGTATCAGGAGACTGGTCCTCCAGGTTGCGGGTTGAGCATGAGGCTAACAACTTCACCATATAAAACTATTGTTTCGAATATTGTATATATTCTGTTGTTACTAAATCAAAGGAAGAATTTGCTGGACTATTTATGTGGAGGTGACTTTGAAGGGATTTTTTGGGTCTGAGATTTAGAACCTGGAATATGCATTTGCTTTATAGAAGCTGAGGACTTTCTGCTTTAGAGGAATTAATGGATGATTATAAAATTGACATTTTTCACTCAGGCATGAGATAGATTGGACAGGGAATTCAGGATGGCTGAAATTGCACTATTATTTTATAGCTGTGATCCTGGGTGACATGGGTTTCATTGTTGGTAAGCAGATTAAGTATATTATTGATGTTGAGGCCAAGTCTACCAAGTTATGCAGTATTAGATTAAGAGGTAGATTTTTCAGCAGTTATAGTTTTATCAATATATATGCACCTGCTGAAGATAAGGATGATGAGGAGAAGGGGACTTTTTATTAAAAAAGTCTGCACACTGCATTCTGCCAGCCAAAAACATATGCTGGAAGATGCAAAGGCTAAGATAGGGAAGTATAATAAATTCAGACCTACCATTTTTGGACATAGTCTTCATTACAACTCAAATGATAATGGCAAAGACTGACATTTTCTGCCGTGGGACATGATATGGTGGTGGCCAGTACTTGCGTATAAACCAAGAGTATTCATAAAATGACTTGGATATCTTCAGACTGTGACACTTTCAATCATATTGACCGCATCTTAATTTACACCAGACATGCCTCAAACATACTGCATGTCAGATCATATCATGGAGTGAATTTCGACTCAGACCATTACTATGATGAAATCAGATGAGCCAATATTGAAAATCAGAACAGGAATTTCTAATGCCCATAAAAATCAGGGAAGAGGAGGAATTAAAGAAATTTAACTGTCTACTGTTAAAATCTCCTTGGGGAGATAAAACCTGGGAAGCTTCTGGTTAGGATCTAGCAATATAGCTGTGTTTTGCTGATCTGAATTTTCAAAATGCCATCAAATTTTATGACAAGGTTTGACTTCTCATAAAGTTCATCACGTTTGACTGATGATAAAAAATATTGTATTAAGTTTTTTTTCCCCTGGATATTTGCTAGATAATTTTAACTGATATTGTTCTTTTTGAACATACAGGATAAGCTATATGAGTTCTAAGTTAAAAGACCTTCCTTCTTAGTAGCTGTATGTAGATGTAAAATCATGCTTTTTGTGCCAGCTTAATTATAAATAAAGATATTAATATGGATAAAACAAATCTAGAAGTATTACTTATGAGACTGTTGTTAAATAAAATAATGAATTTTTTAAAAATTAATTATGACTATTTTTTAAAATAATTGTTTCATCTAGGAATAAGTTAAGCTGTTTACCTCTGTTTTCTAAGAGTAGTTTGTGTATGATATAACCTGACTTGAGTTAAAACAGAAGAATATGTATTCATAATTCTGTTATTGTATTTCAATTATATATTTAAGGTCAAAATTTGTAAAATATTCTTGTATTTCTTATTATAGCGTGATCTGCAGCCATCATATCAGTGCACCGTATTTACTCCTGTAAGTATGTTATCCAGTTGTATATATACATTTAACATGCAGAGTTAAACAGAGCTAAACCTGATGAATGAGTTAGTTTTCATAACAGTAAATCATGTGTTTGTATATCCATATACAGATGCATATATATATTTTTTTCTGGTAGAGTACCATAAAAGTTGAAAACATTCCATTTCAAGATTTTTCTGAAAGTTTATCACCTCAGTCGTTCAATAGCAGCATTGATGTGAAACCAGAATCACCTGTAATTTCAGCTAGTGAAGTGTAAGTTCTTTCATTTGTGTCATAAATGCATAATATTTGAAAAAAAAAAATTAAATATCAAAGTGGTATATTTTCCCAGAAATGTTAAATTTAAGCCCAAATGCAGAATTGCTGTATCTACTACGCTTTAATTATGTATAGACTTAAGTGTGTTTTTTCCTTTGTAGTTCCACTGTTTCTAGTGAAAAATGTTAGTTAAGATTTGATATATTTAAAAGTATTTTTTAAAGTAAATATGAATTTTCAAAGAAATAGCGATGATGGGCTCATATGTGTATTGCCCAATTAAGATGCGAGTACTTTTTCATAAACATTTATCATTATTTATTGCCATTACTTTTGCTTCTAGATTAGAAGAATTGTATCCAATACAAGTTTTTTTTTGGGGGGGGGAGGAAGGGAGGTTTGGGTATCATGCAGTGGAAAATATCAATTTTGTGTATATTTCAAAAGAACTTAGATGTAAATGAAGAAGTATGGTTTCATTCCTGAAGAACTTTGGAAGTGAAACATGAAATGCTGCAAAAATTATTTATAATTAAAGCAGATGTATTGTGATATAGTAATGAATTAAAGGAATATGCATTATTCTGAATTAGTTGATACCAAGAGGACAGATATACTGACGAAATAGGGTGCCTGTTTGTCTTCAGAGAATATTAGAAGACATATGCAAGGTTCTCAGTAAGCTTTACATTTATGTCTCATCATTTCTCAGTGGAATAGCATCAGAACTGATTTCACTAAAGAGAATTTCTGCCACACCCTCAGGGCTTTCCTGTTGTCTCACCACAAAAATCATGAAAATTTAAGCATGAAAAGTATGCCTAACTTTTTCTTGATTTATATAAATGTTATTATATAGAGATTCAGTGGTTTTATCCTGAGGGGAAAAAATAGATGATGTATCTTTAGTAACATAATATTTAATTAAAATTTAATTTAATACAAAACTTCATGAGAAGCGATAACAAGAGAAACTGAAACTTTCATCTGCACTTATTACTACTAGTACATATTCAAAGGAGCCCACCAGCGGCCGAGCGGTTAAGTCGCTGAACACTGGTAGTTCGGTCCGAGGTTCGAATCTCGTGAATGGGCTGGCTGCATGGGCGTTTTCGTGGTTTTCTCCATGTGTAACGTGTATACGAGCCAGTTCCCCTTAGAAAGTCCTCCATGAAGGCATCCATCCCCTTAGGCAGATAGCCCTAGTGTGCTTTGCCATAATTAAATACACACACATATTCAAAGTAATTACAACATGGCATTCCATCCAAGAGTTAGCATTTAAAAATAACTAACATCTGTGGATAAGCAAGCGAGAAGTTTTAGAAATACCTTAGTCTGCATAAAAATTGCTCTAATTGTAGAGGAATAAATGTAACATCACTGGTTATTATTTTCAAATGGTGTTTAAAAGACTTTTTACATTTCCCATTTTATTCCAGTTTAAAAGCTGGAAAAAGGAATTAGTCTAACTAGGCTGTGTTCATGCTGTTTTACAGAGGCTGTTCATGCATTTCTAGACAATTTTTCTTGTATTTACAGAAATATTTTATCTAAAATTTATGTGTTTTAAATACTGTTGTTTGATAACCTTTTTCTTCACTATCTTTTTGCATCGTAATTTTAAAAAGAATCGAGCCTTTTGTAGTGTGTCGGAAGAGGTATTTTATTCCATTCCTCTTGAACTGCTTTCCCAAGTCCAAAGAGGGTTGTAGGTCAACATTTTGACAATTCACTTTTTTAAAAGTCCAAATGTGCAAAAATGTATGGAATATTTATTAGGGATATGAGTGAAGGCTAGGGACTTAATGCCTATTTCTTGTTTCATTTTTTTTTCCAGAAAATTAACAGTGGATTTTGATGCGTGGCTGCTTGCTTTGTCTTGATGCTGTTTTGCTGATTGATGGTGCTGTGGATAAAAAGAAGTTATTTCATATTTGGGAAGTGGGTATAAAATATGTTCCTGATCATATGTGGAGTTGTTCTTAAGATTTTTCTCCACACTCTTAATTTGCCGTTTTATGAAAAACCAGCAACAACCATAAATAACCTTTGAAAAACTTTCTTCAAATTTTTTTAACCATGTTTTAAGATTTTTTTCTCTCCTCTTTGATGATAATAATGGATCTTTTTTTATTGCAGTCTTACACCCAAGATTCATCTATTGTGACAACATTTTTTCCATTTTTGTCCGGATTAAATGTTTTTCATAAAGAATTCGGCAGCATGTTCTGGATTTAGTGATATGTCATTCAGGAAGACGATGGATATTATGTTTTTGTACCTTTTTAAAATTCAAATAAGCATTAATTTTCTTGTTTACCGCTAACTCTGAGCATTTTAATGATTTTGAAACTGTCCTTTGACGTAACCGATTTTGGTTAATGTTAAAGATCTTACCTATGCAACATTCGAAACATAACATTTTTTCCCTTGGGTATGTATTTGGAACAGTTTTTCCATTTGAAAACAAACTTTGATTTTTTTCTTTTCTTGTTGACAGTATTATCTATCCTAGCTTTAGATATAAAAAAACCGTAGCTTTTCGAAATTATTTATATTAGAAAATTATTTGTATAAAGCTGTGTTTTGTCATAGCTATATACAAATAATTATCTTTGGAAAGAGCACAGGCATAGCCTTCCATTGATTGCTTCATGCAAAACCACCAGTTTGCATGAAAACAATATTGTCAAGTAGCAGATGATACTTGATACTTTAAAAAATATAAAATATGCAGTTAAAAAACAGATTTCTAAGCAGATGAATTTTTTTATAGCAAAGCAAAATCATTTAAAAAAATGTGTGAACAGCCTCTAAATAAATTTGTAGCCATTTCATCTTTGACTTAAAAAAAAACCTTTTTAAAATGGCATTTAAGAGATATTAAGATTAGTAACATGTTTAAAATATTGAAGACAAAAGCTTAGCAGGTAGAAATTTTTGTATAGATATTTTTAAAGCGTTCTCCCTAATTCATTATTCTTCATATAAAATAAGGATTGTGAAAGTTAGCCCATGAAATAATAAAGAGTGGACTTGATTTTATCATTTCAGAAAAAAATGTTACCAAATGTACCCATGAATAGATATCCAAATATTAATTTTATTTGAAAATCGTAAAAGGTTGTTGATTATTTTTATTTAGCTAAATTAGAAGTTGATAAATCATAATTGATAGTTTAAAAGATTTAAAAAATGGCATTTAATTACAGACTTTTTTTTTTTTTTTTTTTTTTTTTACATTTTGTTTCACAACTGATCATAGTCTGTTTGTATTTTTTTATTACACTGAATGTAAATACTAATTTAAATAGTTTCAAGATCATTTTCTGCCTGTTAGGATATCTAAGACACATTTTGTTTTTCAAGTTATTAAGGATTTTAATTTGCTTGATTGGACAAATGTTACGAATCTGTGTTTGGTCTATATGTATGTTAATGACAGTTTACAAAGGTACCAAGAAACTAGGCATAGGCCCATCAGCTTATTGCTTTTCCTGTGGTGTATTGTTAATATGCCATAGCCAAGCAATAGTTTATGCCTTAATCAAACAGTTATTTTTTGATTAATGGTCACAACATGCAAATTTTCTTAACCTTGTACTGTATTTTATTTTATTTATCATTAATTTCTTATTGGCACCGTAGGTGCTGTTAGTCTCAAGACTCATGCTTTGTCTGTAATACTTTTGCTTCTGAATCACTTTTCAGAGTGCTGCCACCAAATGTCACTGCAATGTATTTTTTTTTTTTTTTTAAATAAAGTAATGAAGAATCTGTGTGTATGTATGTTCCCCACAATTTGGGAAAAATATGCACCTAGAGCAATTGAATGTTTTATACACATAATCCTCCACCCAAACACGAGCACCTTGAAGCACAAATTTTGAATTTGTTTTTCATTTATTTCATGGCTTGTACAAATTTAGGAAGTTTTTGTTTAACAAACTCAGCAATTTTGAATGCAAGAAATGACAAAAGTGTTCAAAATAAAAATTTTTTATCTCGTGCACTCCATACTGTTACCATTTGGTAAAATGTATTTATCTTTTAATTTTAATCCATAAATTCAGCAATTTGATAGCAATGTGTTGCTGTCTGAAATAGAACACTTATCTTCATGCACCAGTGACTTGCCATTCAGTAAAGTGTACGATTTTTAACTTCTAATCTGACCTTTCTGTTACTGAGTAGCAAACCAAGTGATTGAACAGCAGTAAACGCAGTTCTTTAAAATATTTTTCTGTACTTTTTAATCTCATTGATTTAAATAAAAATGCATTTAAATCATGAGATGCCTAATTAGAAATATTCAACATTTTTATTAAACAATACTAGCTGAACTCAATCATTACAAACTTTTTAAATTTTTATGGCAGCTGGCTACTTGAGCAGCTAGTTTTCAAAAAATAATATAGCGAATAAAAATTGAGGCAATCCCTAACAATCTATAAGAAATTCTAAAGATGTGTTATTTTTAAATATTTTGTGATTTTCCTATTCAATTTTGTGTGGTGTAAGTGTGAAGAAAGTGATGCTTAATAATAAAGCTAAAAAGACAGAAAACATTGTATTAGCAGAAGTGAATCCTCTGATGTGATGTTAAAATTTGAATCCTTTCAGATTTGCTTTTTTTCTTTCTTTTTTTAACACTATATTTTATTTCACATTTTCCATTCTGGCCACTTTTTTATTATGGTGTTAGAGTTCTGTTATTTGAGCGATGCAAATAGAAAGTTTGTTTTTGATTTTATGTGGCATTTGCATCACTAAGAAGTTTTTCAAGAGAAAACATTAGTACGAAAATACATGAAAGCCTTTAAATACTGCATGTGCTTTTAATAAAATTTTAACAGCAGTAAATTAAATTGTTTGATATTTTAATCTGCTTAATCAATATTAAAAGGTAATGATGGGCAACATACATGTGTTAGCCTTATTTCAGATTTTAAAAATATTATGTGTTTATGAGTGTTATAAAATGAGCGATATGCTTCTGGTATATTCTTATTTTGACTTTCATTCTAATTCATTCATGTGTTTTCTTTATATCAATGTATTCTGTATTTATCTTTGCAGCACAACTTCTACACCATCTGTGACATCCAGTCCACAGAATGGCCCTGAACAAAAAGATAAATCAGAAATGGTATTTAAAAATTATGTAAATATGTTTATTTAAAAATTTTACAAGTCTATTATGTTCACCACATTGATAACCATTATACACAATTTTGTAAAATGTGCAACTATTGAAAGATAAAGATGTCATGTGTATGATATTTTTGTTCTCAGAAAACTTCTATCTGTAAAGGGCAAAGTAAAGTCAACCTTAGACTTTAGTTTTTTAGATTAAAAGTAAATCTCAAGAAGTAGAAACTATTTATCTGATATGAATCTGTGCTACACTTATGTTTTCCAGCATTTGACTAATCTCTGGAAAGCTTTGGCATAGAGAGATTTCTCGATGTATCTAAATCACACTAGGACAGACTACTTTGTAATCAGTAATGAAATTTCCTGACATCCAAGATTTAAAGGTCCTGGATACTTGACGCATTCTGTTCATATCTGTCAAGGTTGAAATTTTCTGGAAATGGTAAATACTATTCTTAACACAGTACTAGCCCTACAGGCATACTAAGATATGCCCTTCAATTATTAATATACATACTTCTGGCTGATCTTCAGTCATATTTTTATTGATTTCTATTATATTTGATGTTTTCCAACATCTTTGAATGATTTACATCATACTTGTCAGCAAGTAAAGATCCCATTTCACACACTTACTAGTGCAAGCATTTAAGTGAGTTTTTATCAGGAACTAGCCTGTTGAGAAAATACTCTTGCTAAACTGCTGACTTGAATGTGAAATGCATATTTGTCTTGGAATCACAGTCTGTTTCATCATGCAATGAAATTACAAACTATGGTGTATTTAAAGTGTGGTTACTGGTAATTTCATCTATATCTGCCATTGTTGCAATTCTGCTATGCATTCTGTGATGAAAAATGTCTTCTTTGACGTGTTTTACATCCCCTTTTAAGACAGCTGACCTTTTCTCTTGACTTCTGTGACATATTTCTGACACTTTTTTAAAACATCTTGTTTATACATTTATTGCCTTAAAAATTTGTGCCTCAAGAAAGAGCTGTCAGAATTTAAGAAAATTATGTATATGTGACTGCACTGTTGATATAAATAAGTGGTTATGAAATTAAAGCAAAAAGACCATTTTTTACAGAAAAAACTAGAAATGAATGGAAGTTTCAGTACTGTGTTGGGCCACCTTTAACATGAATATATGATGCGATATAGGCAGGCCTTTAAGCATACAGGTCCCATAAGATATCCTGCATCATCTCATTTCATATCTCTAATTCAATTTAACTCAATACTTGTCCAGTTTACCATCCCATGTGATCCCAGACATATTTAATTTGTGACAAATGTGGGGATTGGGAAGACCAGGAAAGGGTTAGTAATGGGGCAGAGGCATGCCTACAACATCCTTGGTGCATTTAGCAAAACACTGTCCTTTTGAAGAATGCCTCCTGGGAGTTCTGCCATCATTGGCTACATGTAATGGCTGAAGTATGTCACGAATATATTGCTGTATTGACAAGGTTTTTGGTTCAGTATTAGAGGTAACCAGATGTTACTTATGATGGTTCTTCAGCCAGGTACCTGTCAATGGTACAACAGACTTAGAAGCCTGTGAAAGTGCTGCCTGTGGCTGTATGGTGGGCATTGATGTAGTTGGCACTGTTTCTGCATATAAGGTGATGTGACTGTCCTCTCAGCTGTTGGTGTGCCAAGGGCATTCTGAACCTGACTACTATATATGCAGATGCTTATCTCTGCTACTGGTTCAAAAACCTCCTCACAGTAAAATCAGAATAATCTAATTGCTTTGCTGCTTGCCGAGCTGACTTTCTGGCTTCCATCATTGCAATATTTCTTCCCCTCTTGAACTCCAATAGCTGATCATAATTGTCTTTGAAGGCGGTATACAAGAGTGCTTTGAAATTTTTGAGATAAACATAGGTTTTTATACTTATGAAATTTTAAGAAAGTTCAAAGTAGTATCCTGCAGCATCAGTGCACTTCTGTAGACAAATTTTCCAAAGATTCAAGATTCCAAAGGTTCCTCAAGCCATTCATTTCTTGGAATCAATGAAAATGCATTTATAGCCTCATTAATCTTATCTTTGGAATGTAAATTACATCCACATAAACTCCTTTTTAGATTAAAAAATAGCCAAATGTCACACATATCTAGATCAGGTGAATAGGGTAAATATTTTGTCACATTGATGTGTTTTGGTTCAGAAAACTCAACTGTGAATCTTGCTGAATGAGAAGATGCATTATTTTAGTGGAGCATGAGTCCCGTAACAGTCCCTTCTTGAAAAATTTCTTAAGACACTTAGTGATATACCAGTTAGCTGTGATTGTCTTCTGTCCTTCTAGCTTGATGACTTTGACTAGTCCTGTACTTCTGAAGAAAACGGCATACATTACTTTTTTTCATGGCACATCGCTTTTTCACTATTGCGGGCATGAGATAATCTTCAAAGACCCATATTTTATTTTCTTAACACGTTGGAATGTCAAAAATTAGTATGTATTTTTATCACCTATTTTAGAAACAATGTGGTGGTCACCGTCTTTAAGAAATTTAAGGATTTCTTTATTGATTCTCACACGCTCCTCTTTTTGGTGCTCAGTTATATTATGGGGAACCCAAAGGCAAACTAGTTTTTTCATATGCAATTCTTCATGAATGGCAGCAGATCCAATGTTAAGTTCCTTTTGTATCATTTGGTAGGTGCAGGGACTTTGAATCCATGCGATATCAATTCACATTTTCCGTATGGCAGACAGGGATTACTGCTGACAATGGGCTTTCTGTGTATTATTCATCCAGAAGAGAGTTGTGAACTTTGTAAAGTTCTATAAACCATCTAAATACAGTAGCAGGAAATGGATCTTCATTTCCAAATACTAGACATTGAACAATTGTAGACATTGAATATATTCTTTTTGATTCAGTCCCACTTTAAAATATAGCAAATCATAGCATGATAATGTTCTCATGTCAACTCCATTTTTCCTTCTGCGTAGAATTTATTCTTTTCTAAACTTATACTTGCAATTGGCCCCCCAAAAAAATCACCTGCTAGACTAAAATAGTTCATATTTTTAAATCTAACCATTAATTTTTTTTCTTGCCATAGAAAACTAAAAAAGCTTTGTTTCCTGAGAAGACTAATGCAAAAAGGATTTGATCATTTTAGATTTCTTTCTGTGGAAACTTGACCCCTGTAGATTTTTTGAGGTGGTGTGGGAAGGGAAATTTGAACTGAATGCTTGTGGCTGTTGCAGATTTTCACATTAAAATTATGGGAGCAACAGGACTGGTCACACCAGTGATACTTTTGAATGTATGAAATGTGTATTGTCTAGACATAGCTCAAGCTATAAATTGCAGTTATACAGAAGTTTACTAAAACTTATTAATTATTTTTAGATATGTTAATCATAGTGCAAACAAGCACATTGATTTTAAATATATATATGTCATTCTTTTCATCAATTCTTTTCTGGACTGCTGTATATTTTAACCAATTCATATAGACGAAAAAATGGAATTTATTTCTTTTAATAATTAATTTTTTTTAATTATAAAAATTAACTAAGAAATATTTTAAATTTCTGAATACAGTAGAAGTCCAGAAATCTGCAAAACTTGGGACCAGAGGTTGTGTGGATTTTAGGATTTTGCGGATTTCAGGACAGAGTCGTAATATTCAGACTAAAAGTGCAAAATAAATAAGCCGTGTTAGATACATTTGATTAAATTATTACATACATTATTTCAATAACTTATTATATGCATAAATTATTATTACATATATAACTTGATTATATTTATTCATTGTATTATATGTACACAGCATCAAGGTTTGCCAATTTCGCCTCATGCAAAGAATTCTGGTTTCGGATTCAAGTGTTAGAATCACTGTTGCTGTAAAATTTCAACAGCTTTTCTTTATTTTTCCTTATATCATACACAATTGTGTTACAATTCCATATGATTCTGCTATAAACCGAGGAGTAGCACCTGCCTCCATCTTTTGCAGAATTTGCACTTTTTCCATTATCGTCAATGCAACGTGTTTACGTTTTTCAATGTTGCAAGCAGTAAAATCATGATTGCGTTTCTTTTCTGTAATTGTACTAAAAAGGGCTGAAATTTAAAATATTCTTAATTTATCCACCAAATATCTGGATAAAAAAAAGGCAGCACTAAATAATCTCGTGAAATAATAAAGCTTAGAAAATACAACAACGTGGAATCATGAACTTGAAAGAAGAGTTGAGTCAATCGTCTGCTTTTTTACCTTGATGCAGATTAGAGGGTAAAAAACATTTATCATGATGTCAATAATTTGGTATTTCCATCATGACTCATTATTATTCGGTAAGTATTTTTTCTTCGATATTTTGTATTCAACGTTGCGGTTCCTGGAACCTGTAAACTGAATGTTTATATTTTGAGAGGCAACGCGGAGTTCAGGAGTTGGCGGATTTTCGATATTTGACTGTATTAGTTAAATTTTCAAAACTGTTTTAAATATTCTTTTATATAGCTTAGATTCTAAAATAAGAGATCTTGTCTAATCACACTCATCATTATCTTAAATACGTTTCTTCATCTGTATTCAGACAGATAAATTTAGCCCTTTGAAGGGCACCGGTATATATGTTTGTCAGTTTTTTAACGTCCAAAAAAATGCTAATTTTTCTACACCAAAAGCTATAATCATAAGTGTCTAGTGTTTGCTTTTGATTCTAAATGGCAACATCACCCTATGAATGTCAGTATTTTTCAGTTATGAAATTAATATACCTCGTCCCAAGGTATCATGTTGGAAGACTAATAAATTCTATTAGAGGGAAAGAAAAAATTCAAAATCTTCAAATATATGATGTACACATGCTGAATCTTACATATTTACTTCATTTCAGTCAGAAGTGATAATTAACAAAAGATTATTTATACGATTTTAAAACTGGTATATAATATATACCGGCACCCACACTGAGGGTACCACGCCAATAGATGGCAGCACCAGTCTTCTCCTTTTCTACTCTGTGACATGACAGAATTTCTTTATTATTATAACAGTTTATGGTGTAATAATTTTTCATGTTTAATTTATAAGTCGTTTAGGATTAAATAGTATGTTCATGAAGGAATGAGGAGTTTACTGACCCTGCACTAGGACTGAATACAAGTATAATAGTTTCATTTATTCTTTGTGTACTCAGCTCAAGTTTCATCAGAAAATTTTTATTTCAGCACTTATCCCTTTCCCAAGAGGAAGACTCATCGATTTCAAAATTGCCGTCTGGGGTCAAAACTTTACACAATTGTGGGGGTTAAATGTGGCATGCTAGCCCCCGAAAGACACCCGTTGCTTTGTGTTCTCCAAAATCCTAGAATGCCAGGAAAATGAAAAGAGGTGATTGACAACCAATTTTTCATTCGGGAGTCACGCCTTCTTCCCTTTGTGAGGTGTGATAAGATCACACAAAGGGAAAGCTCGCATAAAATGGAAATGTACTTAAGTTCTATCTCATAGTGTAATCACAAAAACTGCTGGTTTGAAGGAATGCTTTTATTCTTTAGGGAAATTCTTTTTAATTCTTTGTTAATTTCAGATGAAAGACTAGAGAAATTTGCCCTCTGGTTGATACAAATAGGTTGTTTCCGAAATAAATTTTCACAGTTGTCGAAAGGAGGGAAAATATTTCTAAGGCCCTTTTTAGATGCCAAAATGTTTAGATTCCATGTTTATCCAAAAGTTGAAAAGGAGCCCCTAGGAAGCCAAAGGGGTTAAAAATCAGAATAAGAGCCAAAGAATAGCTTTGAGGTGTATCAAATAATAAAATTGTTTAACAGCGTTTCTTCCTGAACAAAAAGATATATTACAACCTATATTTACAAAAAATAAAAAAGGGACGCTTACGGTCCTCAATCATCTAAAGTGAAGAGGGGGGGGGATTCTTCGTATCATAGTATGAAGCATGGATTTTTTCCACATATTATCTAAAGCATAAAATAGAACTTCAAAAATGCAGCATACTTTCTCAGCTGAGTCATAGCGTTTCATTCTTCAATTTTTTAAATTTTCGGCTGAGTTACATCTGCTTGTAATATTATACTAGTTCAGTTACAGCATGATACGATTTACGCATGCAGTGTTATATATATATATATTTTTATAAAATAATAATATTGAATTTAAATCATTTTGAAAAGCTTTTTACCCATATTTTACGTAAGTATGTTCAGCTGGGTTGCATCCTCAAAGTGCATAAAAACATAAATTTTATTTTTAAAATTTTAAATTTCTACCGAAATTTTAAAACTTTTTGTTTTCAGACTTACATAACCATATTCAAGCACTCATCACTACAGAAGCACATAAAAAGTACGCAAAATTAATTTAAAAAACAAAAATTAGCAGTTGGCAGCTACCTGGAAAAAAATGTCTTAGAGGGGCGCCGGTATAAAATGTTTACCGGCTCTTAAAATTCAGGATTTCGCTGTAGATTTTTTTAAGTCTCAATTCTGTGTCCTTAAGGTCCATAAGTTGTAGTTCATGCAAAATTTTACTACAATTTAAATTATTTTATATACCGCCCCTCAAAGGGTTAAAAGCCTTTTTTTTTTTTTTTTTTTTTTTTTTTTTTTTTTTTAAGGATGAAAGTGGCATTGTCATACAACAAGCTCAAGGTGATGAAATTTATATTACTGCAAAAACATCCACTGCTGAACTTCATAACTGGCTAATAAAAAATAAATTTTCAAAATACCTTTCATGCTTTGCATTATATTCAGGTAAGTTAATTTGTAGCAATAATGAATATGCTGTAATGAATATTTTATATGGATTTGTTTGGTAAAGCACTTCCTGTTTGATCATTATTCTAACAGAATATCCATGTTTTCTGTGTCTTATCCATATTGCAAACTATCAAAAAATTATTTTTGTATGTGCTATGTCATATAATTGCTGTATGTTGCTTCATAGCTTCTCAAGATTATTTTACAGAAATAATTGAACACTAGATTTTAAAAAATCAAAGTTCCATGCTAATAATTTTTCATCTAATTAAGACACAATAACACGCCGAATAAATACTAATTCAGAAGTGCAAAACCGCAAAAAAATTTTGCGGTTTTGCAGCTGAAGATGGTGGTTCGGTAAAACCATCGAAACTAGTCCTGTGAAAATTTTGCAAATATTACGCTGATTTTTGTTGTTTGACTTCTGAATTAGTAATTTTTCATCTGTTGTTATTATGCTATTATTTTAACATATACAGTCAAAAGTCATTAATCCGGACTCGTCGGGACTTCGGCGATTCCGGATTATAGATCATCAGTTTAAATCTCGTAAGATGGCATGCAGAAATTCTAAAATTAAATATATAAAACCGTAATTTATGAAATAAAGAACAATTATGATCTAAAGGGTATCAAAATTTACAAAAAAAAAAAAAAAAAAAAAAAAAAAAAAACTTAATATTTATTTGTTTACTTCATTAAACATTTCTTTCAATGTAAGTTGTTTAAGTTGCTTTCTTTTATGTGATAATACTTTCTCTTTAATTCTATAAACAGACATAATTTCTTGTTCAGTTACAAAGTTCCGCTGTTCAAGTCCCGTAATTGCTGTGCCGAGAATACCGACTAACTTGTCAATCAAAATTTTTTCGTTTTCACTAACCTCTCTGTCACCTTCTTCATGTCTTTATCCATTTTTTGCAGCTATTCCACTTTTTGTTTGACGGACATCGAAACATACTTTCGTTTTGTAGATCCTTTGGGAAGCTCCAGCATCGGAAATTCTATTTGACATAATCGAAAGTTCAAGTTTACTTTTATAAAATTGCTCTTACAGTCTGCAAAAAATAATAAGCCGCATCCAATTAGAAGATTAAGGAACAACGCAATCATCAACATTAACTGAAATAGACAATTAGATAATTTTAGCTTATACCGTCCGTTATACATAAAATGCGCACGCAAAAATGTATTCTGCGCTTGCGCACATGCATATGCGCAGACGTAAAGGTCTTACGCGCACACGTAAACGCCTATGCTCATGTGTCAACGCGGCACATGCGCAGAAAATTTTTAGCTTTGAGGTCCAGATTATAGATCATTCCGGATTATGGGTGTCCGAATTAACGACTTTTGACTGTATATAAACTGCATTTATTTTGCTTTCATTTTGTTTTTTAAATTTAAATGTACCAAATGATTTATTTTTTAATCTTTGCTAGTCTATTTGTTAGTGAGCTGGTCCATATTTTATTGACATGAGATAGTAGTTTTGTTTTTATAAGCAGTTTTGCTTTTATTGTTGCTTATTCACATGTCTGGGTATATCAATACGAGTCCAAACTATCATGAGTGAGGTAAACATATGTATTTGTCATGTGTCCGTGACACTTAGCCAACGAGACACTTAACCGACACCAATTAGCCAACAGGACATTTAGCCGACATGGACACTTAGCCGACAGGACATTTATTCGACACGGACACTTAGCCGACAGGTCATTTAGCTGACATGGACAATTAGCCAACAAGACATTTAGCCGACGACACTTAGCCGACAGGACATTTAGACGACACGAACAGTTAGCCGACAGGACATTTAACCATCAAGAACACTTAGCTGACAGGACATTTGGCCGACACAGAGAGTTAGCCATCAGGACATTTAGCTATGAGACCCTTAACTGTCAAGACACTTAGTCAACAGGATACTAAACCGACAGTGACGTTTACCTGACACATACCCAATAATTATTTAAACTTACTATCAATTACAAAATTTCTCAACTTCAATATTTAAGCTATTTTTTTCACCTATCAGTAAAATTCATTTTTTGATTCTTAAAGATCTCATATGTGCTTTTAATTATTGTGTTAATTTAGCATTGTTTGATGTGTATTGTGCTGTTTGGTGTATATTGGCCAAATTGAAAAAGTGCTGAAATTTTTCATCAGGGAATATGAATTAAATTTCAAAAGGAAAAAAGAATTTTTTTAGCTAAGTACGGAGGTCACTTAATTACATTTTAATATGAAATCTTCAAAAATTATCCATAAAGCTTCTTCATTTAATCAACTGGGTTCTTTTGAACACTTTCACATCACTAATAATTTTTCTTGGTTACTTAATGATATTAATTTTCCAATCTATCTCTTCCAAATGCTTTCAAATTCCTAATACCTTTATGTTTCATTACTATGTTACTCAATACATCATGTTACATTCTTTCTCTTACAAAATCGTTTCTCTCCTCCCACTAATGAAATTTCCCTTCTCTGTCGTGAAAAATCTGAATAATGCAATAAAAGTTATTGTTATTCTTGCATCATACTTTTTATAGAAACATATGGTGGTGAAAGGTTAGTTTAGCAAATTTATTTTATTTTGTTATTAAAAAAAAAATTTTTTTTAAAGTGAATTTTTAAGACAAGCAAAGGCATAAATTATTTGTGACCTCTATAATGAGCTGTTCATGCCACCATTCTTGAGATAAAAAATCTGTAACATTTTATTGACCATGCGTACCCGCTGAGATTTCCTGGCTGGGAACTAGCTGATAGTTGACACTCTGATTGTCCTTAGGGAATTAGATCAATATAGCTTATTAAAGCCCATCTGGGCTAATATGCATAAGCAATTAGTATTTAAGCATTAACCACGCCCCTCTCTTAAAATACATACTTAGGTTAATGTTTATAGCACTAAACTGGTACCTAATGTTTAATTTAGAAGTAAAATATTTTTTAAGGTTTTGTTTTATTCATAACTGAATACATTTCTGCAAAAACTGCATTTTCCACTCTTCATATATCAAAAACTTTGCTGATATGAAATTCCGGACGTGGGAAAATCTCCAAAGAGAAATTGGATGAAGCTGTAGGAGAGGCCACAAACAAGCAGATTGGGGCAAAGCGAGACATCCTGAAAATTCACCATAATGTGGTACCATCTATCGATGATAGATTTTACTAGATCAGTCATGTGATTAGATAATACAGTCAAAAGTCGTTAATCCAGACTCATCAGGACTTCGGCGATTCCTGATTATCGATTTTTCCGGATTATAGATCATCAGTTTAAATCTGGTAAGATGGCATGCAGAAATTATAAAATTAAAAATATGAAACCATAATTTATGAAATAAAGAACAATTATGATCTAAAGGGTATCAAAATTTACAAAAAAAAAGCTTAATATTTATTTGTTTACTTCATTAAAAATTTCTTTCAATGTAAGTTGTTTAAGTTGCTTCATTTTTTATGTGATAATACATTATCTTTAATTCTTTAAACAGACATAATTTCTTGTTCAGTTACAAAGTTCCGCTGTTCAAGTCCAATAATTGCTGTGTCGAGAATACCGACAAATTTGTCAATCAAAATGTTTTCGTTTTCAATAACCTCTGTCACTTTCTTCGCTATCGGAAGCGAATTATAATGACGAGGAATTTGATTTAAATCATATCAAAGATGGAGTACATCAAGATGAAATACTACATTTAATAAGGAATTATAAGCCAAATAAAATAAAAACATCTGCCCTGAAGGTAAGGATAGTGCTGACAGATCAACTTCCAATTCATTGCGCGTGGCCGCAGCGTTAAAGATAAACAAAGTTTAGATAAACAAAGGATATGCCTTTATCCATTTTTTGTAGCAATTCCACTTTTTGTTTAATGAACTCGAAACATATTTTCGTTTTGTAGATCATTTACATATTAATAAATATATATCAGAAATTCTATTTGACATAATCGAAAGTTCAAGCTTACTTTTATAAAATTGCTCTTACAGTCTGCAAAAAATAATAAGCCAGATCCAATTCGAAGATTAAGGAACAACACAATCTGCAACATTAACTGAAATAGATAATTAAATAATTTTAGCTTACCTTATACCGTCTGTTATACATTAAACGTGCACTCGTAAACGTATTTTGCGCACGCGCACAAGCATATTCTCAGCCGTGAAGGCCTTACGCGCATGCGTCTGCGCAGAAAGTTTGAAGCTTTGAAGTCCGGATTATAGGTCATTCTGGATTATGGGTGTCTGACTTTTGACTGTATTATGTACTCTCTTTTGGAAAGTTGCGATGTGTAATTTTGAATATAATATTTTTACTATATTGAAAATTACACATTATTAATATTTTTCTTATAAAATGTACCTTTTCCCAATATCTGTTAAAATATTCAAATATTTATATATTAATGAAATCATATAATAAAAAATAAAATTTATTATATATATATAATAATTTCATTTTTTTCATTAATTTTATTAATTTTCTCCTTCTCTTTCTTGTTTTTGGTTTAGCTACATGGTAATGGGAAAATTTTTGATGCCCATTTTCCTGAATACATTTATAAAGTTCTAGCCTAAAAAGGCAATTTTCATTGGAAGAGAGTGGTCATATATTAAGTAAAATGGTCACTCTATTTTTGTTAGGCCCAACAGCGGCCGAGTGTTAAAGTCACTGAACACTGGCAGTTCGGTTCAAATTTCGAATCCCGCGAACGGACAGACTGCATTTGTGTTTTCATGGTTTTCCCCATGTGTAACATATATATGAGCAAGTTTTCCTTAAAAAGTCCTTCACTAAGGTATCCCTTCCCTTAGGAAGATAGCCCTCTGACTTTGCCGTAATTGCATAAACTAAACCTACTTCTGTTAAGTGGCCGCAGGCCACGAGGTATGAATTCCCATGGCGGAGCCCTATCTCAGATTAATAAATGCCTAACGTGTAAATAGCATTCTGAGGGTGTAACTAAGGATTTTAGAAAAAGAAAAAAGTAATTCCAGTGTGGCGATGAGTAGAGAGAATCACTCTACTTCTTGACAGGGAAAGGAAATTTCATTAGTGGGAGGAGTGAAATGACTTTATACGGGAATGAATGTAGTGTGATGTGTTGAGCAAAGTAGTAATAAAATGTGAAAGCATTAGAAATCTGAAATCACTGGGAAGAGCGAGACTCATTGTCAGCTTAATGTCCATGTCGGCTAAATGTCCTGTCGGCTAAGTGTCCGTGTCGGCTAAATGTCCTGTCAGCTAAATGTCCATGTCAGTTAAATGTCCTGTCAGGTAAGTGTCCATGTCGACTATATGCCTTGTCGGCTAACTGGTGTCGGTTAAGTATCCCATCGGCTAAGTGTCCACGACCGATTTGTCATTGGTCAAGGGACTTAAACACCTGTAGTGACAGAATGACTCTGTCCAGTTTCATTGCAATTTTGATTGCAAAATAAATAATAATGGAATCTAAGGGTGTCATCTCCAGCTTCTTCCATCAACTTCTCAAGAAGAGTATGGCTTTCATTAAACTGCTATTAACCCTATAATGAATCAAATATCAAGTGCTTCTATTCTGCTGAGATTCTGTACATTCACAAAAAATACTTGCCTTATCAGGTGTTCAAACCCAGGTCACTCCTGGCTATGATTAATCCTGTACTATTTGGAGCTGCCGGGAGATGGGATATTTCTTCTTTATCTGATGGACATTTGTTTTGACATCGGTTGCTTGTTTAAATTAAAGTATTCTTATATAATTAAGGTCTTAATATTTATGGAATGTTTGAATGCAGTAGTTTAGAAAAGTCTCTATATTTTTTATTATTTTACTTTTCAAATATCAGTACTTACATATTAATGCAACCATCTTGGTGTAATATGGCATTTTTTTATAAATGAAAAGGTAGAAGTTCAAATCTTTCTGTAATTTTTTTGCAAAATCTGTTCAAAACTTTTCACGAATTCTTTTCAAATCTTCAAATCTTTCTGCACTTATCGAGTGCAGGATGGTGATTTGTGCTTCTTTTTGTAGAAAGATTTCCAAACTATCAATATTTATTATAAGTTGGTAGAGATTATTGACATACAAAAAAAGCATACTTCATCAATTTAAAATACAAATTTAATTTATTAAATAAGGATTACATGATATATTAAAAAAATAAAACACGTTCTTCAAATCTTTCTGTAATTTTTTTGCACGCGTTCTTCTCCCAAAGTACACAGTGATCTGTTTTCACTTAAAAAACGTCAGAGAATTGTGGAGACTCAGATTCATGCAACTCTCGGGAGCATCAGCTATCGAGGAAATGAATTTCCTTGTTGTTCCTTTTAGAAAAATTTCAGTAAAATTTAATTTTCTTGCAGAAATTTTACTGTAGTTTCTGCCACTACTGGCAAATTCCATAAGCTCATGTTTTAAAACTAAGTTTAAAGCAAAAAAATATCATGATTTGTTTACAAATTTTTTTGAACTTGGAATACAACAAAAAAGAATGCATACAAAAATGGCAGCATAGCTTGACTGAAGGACTGCTTAATTTTTTCAATTATTTATATGTTTTGTTTCTGTAACATGTGAAATATTTAATTACAATTAGATATTTTTTCCATAAGTATTCCATTGTTAAAATTTTCATAGTTCACCATTGGTTATAAGTATATAAATAATAAAGTTATATTTAAGACATTAAATGCAATTGCAATTTTTATTAGTCAGATGTATTCATAGCAGTTTTCTTTTTTTCACACAAATGTTAGTTCTTCCTTTCATCTTTGACAAATGTGTTAGTATTTTCTTGTAATTTTTCTATACTGTATTCAGTTTGTATGTTATTTAAGCCCAATTGCAACTCCTTCTGTTCATTTTATATATAGACATTATATTAGAATGCATTAAAATGTTTTTATATATATATAAGAAATTAATTCACCAATCTCTGTGATTACAAATTATATATAAAGAGATTAATTATTAATAAGCTAGTTTTATGTGTCTGTTATTCTTTAATATCATTTTTATGTACGCATTTAAATATCTGCACTATTATAAATAGCTTTTTTTTTATGCATTAAATTTTGAAATGTAAACTGCTAATTATTAGAAATTACTATATTGTTACAAGTTGTTGTTAGACTAAGAGTTACATTGTTGCAGCCATAAATTAATTTTCATATTATCATATTTTTCAGCAAAAGATTTGTTGTGTTTAAGTCGAGCAGATATGGTTGACATTTGTGGAGCAGCTGATGGAATACGATTATATAATTGCCTCCATATTAGGTATAAAAATTAACAAATCATATTTAAATATTCATTGGCAAAAATTTTTTTAATATTGCGTTTGATGTTGAAATAATTCAAAGGCTAAAAATCATATTTTCAACTACTACATATCTTTATACAAGACCAGTAAATTATAAAATCTTGTAGCAATTTAAAATTTTGAAAATACAGCTAATTGTGCTTTCTTTCTGGAAATAATACTGATAAGCAATTAAGAGTATGTCACAATTTTCTTAATAAGTTTATAACATGGCAAAATTGTAATAGTACTCATATAATTACTTCTGAGTAACTAGCTGCCATGAAGTCAATTTTTTCTATTCGTAATGCAGCATTTGTTGGAATTGATATTAGAAATTTTTATGTCATGAGCAAGTCCTTCTTTTCCTGTATAATGTTTTTAATACCACTATTTAATATAAGTACAATATTGGTATTAAAATTATATGAAAAAGAAGAATTTTCTCTTAAAAATTCATCTTTCTCTAAATTTAATCATATCAAGTATGCTGGGAAACAGGATTCTGTAAGGTTACTAAAATTTGTGGAAACAAGGTGGTCATTTCCTGCTTAATAATAAAATATATGGTATAATTTTTATATGATAATAAATAAAAATAATGATGTACTGCTTAATAATAAAATATAATAAATAATAAACTAAAAAATAAAGTGAATAGACTTAATATCTGATGTTATATACATTTTGATTCTCTGTTTCTGCTTTATAATAAGTTGTCTCACATAGTCTCATTATAATTTGCTATCAGAGAAAAATTTCTTTCTTTGTGAACTCTCAGCTAATTATATCTTTAATTCATGACTATGTTGAATGCCATAAGCAACTTTTTTGAACTTTAAAAGAATAATAAGTTATTGATTTTATGTATAACAAGTAAGAATTTCAATTTAAAGTTGTAAGAATGCTATAATTGCATGAAACTTAAAAATTTTCTGTAGTTGTACCATATTGCTTGATAATATTTTTTAACAAATCGTATACATATATCCATAGGCATCCTCCTCCTCTGCGAAAATTCTACATTTCCAAGGATAGATTAAGTATGTATATATTTAAAAAATATTTCATCCTCCTTTATATTGATAAGTATCAATGACCGTTTTTTATAGCTTGATTTTAATTATGATATAAATAATTTTATGCATTTAACTGTTAACAAGTGTAGAAGTATTTTGCTTTTATTAAAATTTTTTATCCCTTATCTATTTACTTGTCAATTATATTAAAACTGAATTTATAATTTTTTTATTTAATTATTTGATTGTATCTTTTAATTTTTGCCAAGCCATATGAAAATTATTTCATAGCTATTATGATAATTTTTGTTTTAAGAAGAAGTTCAAAATTCTGCATATAAATAATTGTGCAAGTAAACTAAAATTATTAACTGGAGATAATTGATCAGTATTGCAGATTTTGTTACTGGCTGGAATTTCAACTATTTGTAGGTATACCTTGTTATTTCCAATTAACTGCAGTAAAGATAATTTCTTAATAAAATGAGTTGATATTATTATTATTTGTTTTGTTTTCTATTATATGTAAAAGTTTTTTTTATGCTTAGACATTACGGTTCAAATGATAAGAACATGTTTATGCTTAGATATTACGGTTCACACATTAGGAGCATTTTTTTATTTTCCCTCTTCCCCCTTTTTTTGTCATAGTTTTGAATTTCTTGAAGAGATTTCATTTTTTTATCTACGTGATGGCTTACTGTTTAATAAGAGTGTAGTTTTCAAGCTTGCTTGCCTTTTGACATGTCTTTCTCTTTAAAATTAATAATTTTTGATTGAAAATCTGAAATATGCTGTACTCTTTTTTGACAGTTTTATGTTTAGTCTTGATTTCGATGTGATATTAGTGAGAAAGTTTCAAATAATGTGAAAATTAGCAATTTAATTAATAAATGTATAAAATGTGTAGAAATACTGTAATGTTCTGGAGAAGATAAATTCATAAGATGGACAATATAATTGGTAGACTACCTTAATTTCCGGAAGAAAGGCCGCATCAGCATAAATGCCACACTCGAGAAAAATGGTGGGAAAAAAATTAAAATTACACAGAAACGCCGCATCAGCATAAACACCGCAATAGTTTAAATTGCTCATGACATTGTCGGGGGCCATATAGATGCAAAATCTCAACCTATGTCCTGATATATGACATATCAGTTAAGAAAACTGCACGCAATGAAATCATAACGAAAAAATAAATTAAAGGTAAGAAATGTTGAAAATATATTTACGTTCATGAGTATACTTACATTTGCCCACTAAAGAAGTCCATATTTGTAATACTTAGATTATATTATAAAAAATGTTGCAACAACAAAATATTAAATTTGGATGACAAAAGGAAATTTTAAATTTTACTTACAAAAGGAATTACAGCAAACTATACATAATATGAAGCCATCAAAATCTGATTCTTCACTATCTGAATTAAAAAGATTTAGTAAATCCTGATCTAAGTCCAATTCTTCCAGATCATCACATTCATTCTCTTGGTTTACAGTCTCTTTATCTAAGGATATAATTTCAGCTTCTTTGAACCCTGCTATTATTGACGATGTTTTTACCGATTTCCATGCACTTCCTACCCACTTTGCAACTACTCCCACCGCTTTCGGACTTCTGCTTTGAAGGATTTATTACCTGACAAATGTATCAGGTAAAAGGTTGTTTTGTCAAACCACCATGAATTATTGCTACGGTCGTAGACAATTTTTGACATCAGGTTTTCACTGACTGAAGTAAATGAGCACACATGGAATCCATTATAAATAACTCTTTTGGTTGGAAAAAAGATCCCTTACAACACTGCCAAACTTTTTGTAGCCACTCGTGCATGATTGTTTCGCACATCCAGCTGTTCTCGTTTGCACAAATAATTATGTCATTAGGAAAATCTCCCTTCTGAATAGTTTTTCATTTAAAAATGATCATCAGCTTTAGCTTGTCACCGTTTGTGGCACAAGCTAACACACATGTAAATTACCTTCTTTCATGCCCCGTCGTAAGCACAGCTACAGTTTTTGCACCAGTTTCATCAACAGTTCTGTTTGCAGGAGAGTCGAAAGCTAACGGCGTTTCATCCATATTTATTATCTGTGACTGAAGAATTTTTTTTTGGTTCAATAATATCTTTCACATATTTTAAAAAAGATGCCTTTTTATAATGCCAGTCCATTGGTAATTGTTAGCCGACTGTTGTTCTAGTACGCACAGAAATATTTTTTTCTTTTCATAAATCTGCTACACCAGCAAAACCCTCCTTTGAAATCATTTATGTTCACTCGTTTTGCTATAAATTTTGCTTGTAAGCAAATTTTTACAGTCAAAATTGCCATTCCCTTTCCTCGTTGCTCCTTTATCCAGTTTGCAAGGTCGTCCTCTAGATTCGGCCACCTTACAGTACCACTGCTTTTGGCTTGTTTCTGTTGTGGCATATTTTTAAGTTCTTCTTTTTCAGTTCTCCAATGTCGAGGACATCTCTCGTCCACTTCAAACTCTCGAGCTGCTGCTCTATTTCCAATTTGTTCAGATTTGAAATTACATTAAGCTTAAAACCAGCAGTATAGCTTCTGTGCCGTTTAGGTGCCATTAAAAAAAAATTTTTTTTATCCCTTCTTACTTAAAAACTGTTCAAGAAGTACTTGTACCCAAACAGATGGGATTTGTATCTGGCAGAATGCCAAGAAAAATCAATTCATGCTGAAGGGGAAATATGTCAGAGTTTGTTATTGCGAGGCAGTTGGAGTTGTGTCCTCCTTTGAAAAAAATTGCAGAAAAGGCAGGGGTGGGGAGAGGATGGGTCCTGGAAGATTCATCGAATGGCAGACAAGAGAGACTATTCGAAATGATGAGAATGCTGATTTGAAAGGGGGAAGAATGTTATTGTTCTGATATCCCGTTTAGGGTAAATAAGGCATGTAGGTCTGTTCAAGGGAAAGAATGTAAACAAAATAACGTTCACAAAAAGCAACTGAGTGGTCTTTTGTGTGGGAACAGCACCCAGTCTATGTACAATGACAAGGCCATCCAAACTATGTACAATAACCTGTATAGAAATTTTTTGCTTGGTAATATTTTTGGAAGTGATTTTATATGTGCCTAATACATTACATTGCTTTAAAATTTCTTATTGAAGAGCAGAATTATTGGCCCAAAGGGCATTAGCCCAGAAGGGCTCTTAATTTCATTTTTGCATTTTGTGGGGTTCATTATAAATGGGGGTTCATTATAAATCATATATTATTTGTGAGGTTTCATTATAATTTCATTTTTCAAATTGTTGCCACCAAATATTATCGCCCTGTATTATATTTGAAGAAATGAAATTATAAAGAAACTGCATAAATGTATCTATGTTCCCTGCATTGTGATAAAACGATGGTAACCTAGAGTCATCAAATTTTGAATAACATATGTCTCCAACTGAATATGTGCATATGGAAGCCCAAATTTGGAATTTAGAATTTGTTTTATTATTTATTTCATATTTTGTAAAGCTTTTATGAGTTTTGATTAAGAAATTCAATGATTTCAAACCGAGCAATGGCAACACTGTACGTAGTATGTGAGACTGTGTATCGGAAATTCTAAAGGTATGCCCTTTTAAAATTATTTTGTAATATTGCTGTTGAATTGAATTGTATGGTTTAAGTACGAAGAACGTGATATTTAGTAAATAAAGGTAACACACAAAATGTTTAAAAAAAAGCCCACTTTGGGCATAATATAAAATGTGAAAACTGTCAGATTTTTTTATTGCATATTTTTATTGCATAAGGATGAGTAATTTTTATTTAGATGTTGTACAATTAATCTCCATACCTACCATGAAGAGTCACAATTCCTGAAGAGTATAGAATCTTTTGATCCACCTTTAGCTCGCATAATATTTTGATTACTTTGAGCATGGGCTTGTTAAGCTTCTGCTATATGTCTACAGGCAAAGCGTACCAAATGCCTAAGCTTGGGCCTTAAGTTCACATAAATTATATGACTGTGGATGATGAGCTTGGAGGAGCCATTGCATGATATCTTACTTTAGCAGAGTCTTAAGAGTTAATTTAGCTAATAGCATCTACTGAATTGTGTGCTTTGAAAGATTTCTGCTTTGCCTTGCATTAAAATCAGCTGCTAACTGAGCAGTGGAAGGGCACTGATCATGCTTTACCAAACATAAAAGCCTGTAACCATCACTATCTTTGATGTGCATAGACAGCCAATATATTGGTGTCTACTGCTCATATGACCATCAGTAAGCCACACTCCAATGAAAGTAACTACAGCAGCACAGAAACAACTAAACAACATTTCGAAAGCATGAAGGATTGAATTTGAGATTGTCCTTGGTCAAACTCTCTTAAATCTCAAATTCCTTGACAAGAGCACTAAAGAGTCTAATTGATATAACAATCTAACAAGGATTTATAATTCCCTTGCATCAGATTTATCCTTTTCCAAGATTGTCATGTGAATTTTACCATTAAGGGATGGCTTCCAAGATTCAAGGTCAGATTATTATGTTTTGGCAATTCATTGCATATAAAAGATGTATAAACCAGAAACGTTTAAAAAAAAAAGAGAAGGAGAAAGAGTTACATAGATCTACATAGAAATTATTATACTTGTGTGGGAACAAGCTAATTTATTAGCATTAAATGCTTACTGATAACAGTTCTTGCCAGAAGTTATCATCAATTTTAAAGGATTTCCATTAATTGAAAATAAAGCCCCCAAAATTATAAAAATTTCAAAAGCAGTTCATAGTGAAGTTTTTTCAGATAAGAAAGAAAAAAATAAGAGAGAGAATATCAGCAGCAATAGAAGATAAAATGCCTTTAACTTACAAAAAATTAAATGCAATGTTAAAAAAAGTGCAGGATCTGTGTGATTTTACATTGGAGTTTGATCAAGATAAAGAAAGAAGAGAACACTTAGAGGTACTGAAAAACTGTGCTATGCTTACTAAAAAATTTTTAAAGGTTTGCATCAATCATTGCTCCAAGCAAAAATATCCTATTTAAAATAATTGTATTATGTACCTATTTATTCAGCAGTAATAGAAATCCTTTAAATTAATATTTATTTCATTCCTCTATCAATTAAGACTGTAGTTAGGTTTGTTTAAATTATGCATATGTTCTTAATTTGAACCATACCTAACTATCTGGCAAGGCTTTACTGTACTGTTGTTCATTTTTATATAATTTTATGTGAAAATGTAAGGTTTGATTTATTTTTAAACAGGAAGTCTTCAAAAATCTTTTTCATAATAATTTTCAAGTTAATAAGCCTTGTATTGAATTTCTTTTCATGTTTTATGTTATTTTTTAATGATTTCCTTTTACTATAGGATTCCATGGCCTTTATTTGGACTCTTTAACTTGCTATGAAGTGAAAGAACAACTTTGTAAAATTTACAGACTTCCATCTGGAACTGTGGGGGAAATATATGTTACAGGACCTGAAGGAATACTGTTAATTATAACTGATAAAGTAAGTTACTTTCATAAAAGTAGTTTATTTTCATCAAAAATTAGCCTTTAATTATAAGAAGATAATACTTTGGGGAAAAAGCTAGTCTGAGAATAGAGAGAAAGCTGTATATCCACCAAGTAATGTATTTCATAAAAGTAGGTTAGCATAGAAATATAAAAAAAAATTTGTAACTTCATTTAAAAACTATATTCTTTCAACTTAATATCATTTCATTTGCTCATGTCTGAATACCATTATAGTATCCACCATCAGGACTATTACTTAATTTAGTAATAACAAAAATTTCCTGATATAATAATTTTTCCAAGAAAAGAAAGTAATCAAAAGTGCAACATGAACTCAATGGTAATTAAAATAGAAGGAAAAAAGAAAGGAAGGGAAAAAAAAGAACTGCTTATGTATACTCAAATATTTCTTAAGTATTAATTTAGAATTGAAACAACAAAAATCAGCGTTATATTTGCGAATTTTCACAGGACTAGTTTTGATGGTTTTACCGAACCATCATCCTCAGCTGCCAAAGCGCAAATGAACGAAATAAGATAAGATAAACTGGACAAGAGTTAAGCGACTAGCGCTATCTATTGATGAAATGAGAACAAAAATGAATATTTGTTTGGCATGTTATTTTATCTTAATTCTTAAGTATCAAACTGCATAATGTGGCATGATAGTACAATGACCTTGTGATGTTCAGATACTTGTTTAACTACACGATTATTTTAAAAAATGTGTCTAATTCTGTTTCTGAATGTAATGCAATATGGAGAATATCCTGATGATCATTAAAAAAAAAACATAATGTAATTAATCAGTTGTTGGTGATGATTTTTTTCAAGAGTAACAGTAAGGATGGATCTCATATTTCTATGTAACATATCATTAAGGGGGAAGGAGACTAAGCAGGTTAAAATATTGTTGGCCCACTGTTTGGACATTAGAATAAAAGTCATTTATCATTTGGGGGGGGGAATACAGATGTTTTGAAACATCCAAAAGTGAAAAAGTGTCTTTTGATACTGTGTGCAGGGAAAAGGGAAAATGCATGTGAGCAACACCAGCCACTTCTGAGAAAGATGTCAGTATGAGATATGTCCACTGTGGAATGTTATGCTACTTCCCATATTCCATGTTATGCTTTATGCAGCATTATACAACTATTGAGACAACTGATTCCACTTTTCTGTCAGTGCACAGAAGAGGGTGTTCTTGTTTCAAAGATGTTTTTGATTAGCAATACCTCCTCAGAGTATGCCAGACATTTTCAATAGGGTTTAGATCTGGTAATATGAGGCATTGAATTGTCTCACTCTGTAGACAGTTCTGAATAACGTATTTTCAATGACATGGTACATTATTCTCCATAAAAAGAAATTTGTCACTATGGAAAATGGGAACATGATGCTCTAGAACTTGATCAGTGTATTGTTGGCCAGTCATAGTTCCAGTTGCAACCACACATTGGAGCATTTGGCCATTGATCATGATGCTGGCCCATTCCATTATACTGCATTCCATTATACTTATTACTGAATGATAAGCATTACCACTATCATATTAAATCAGTTCACATCTACAATCCAATTACAGATTGCACCTACTCTCATCTAAGAATAATATGAAAGCCCAGTCCTGTTCAGTCCAATTGCAGTGCTTGGGACACCATTGCAAATGGGCAGTTATGATGCTGTCTGGAGAATGAGACACATATAATAGGTCTGCAGGTTCTTCTACTCATAAACATCTGGCTACTGGTTTTTGGCAAGAGTGATGAAATGTGTGCTCCTCCTTTTTTTTTTTTTTTTTTTTTTTTTTTTGCCAATAAGGCAATATACTTGTCCTGCAGATGTTGAATATCTATCATAATCTCTGCCACAACACTGGCTACATTTTCCAATTATTTCAAATGCTTTCTAGAGTCATGAAACACTGCTGTACGTAATGTTGAACTCCCTGGTAACATGTATTATTTTTCTGATTACTCTTTTTTGATGTTTCCAATGATACAGCCAGATGTAAAATCATCTAAGTGATGTTGGGAAGACATACTGAAATTTTATATATATCAGATTTTCCCTTTGTATTATGGACACAGTATTTAATAAAGCATTCATAGCTCTGTTCTGAAAACCTATATCAGATTTTCCCTTTGTATTATGGACACAGTATTTAATAAAGCATTCATAGCTCTGTTCTGAAAACCTATATCAGATTTTCCCTTTGTATTATGGACACAGTATTTAATAAAGCATTCATAGCTCTGTTCCTTTAAAGTAAATACGATTGCATAATACATTAATATTCTTAGTTTATATACATATATATCATGAAATTTGTGATGTAATGCTGTGATGATGCTGGTGTATAAATATAGAGAATTAGTTAAGACCAGTTGACATAGTTCCTTATTTTTGACCTAATATCATCGAAGTACATATAATTAAGTTGATGCAAAAGACATACATGTTGTTCAATAACTACAATCATACATTTTACATGTTTGTAATACATGATTAGAAATCAAGACAGGCAACAGACTACATATAAACAGGATAATAGCAGGCATGAGAAGACTGATGCTAAATTAAAAATAGTGTAGTATATCTTAAGTGTATATATCTTAGTAGAGGGAGACTTCACAGGACTAGAGTCCGATATTGTACTCAGGTTAGTTCAGGCTTGGCAGGGACCATACTGGTACTGTCGTGTCTGTTCCTTCGGCTGTGGTGGAGCTATATAATACATTTGTCGACTGAGTTCCCGGGGGTTTGACCCCATTCAGTTCTTGTGGTGGGGACTGACAAAGCGGACAGAGCACCTTTCTACAAAGTCGTTTTGCCGATGGAGTGGTGCCCGGAGGCAAGGTGACAGAGTATCAAACTAGCAACGTTTTCGTTCTGCCCAATGCTTAGTAAAAGCCGGGCAGGGATTGCGCCCGTGAGAACGAGGTTTCATGGGCGTTTGATATCTCAAACTCTGAATGGGTCCCGTATAATGAGGACCTGGGACGGAGGTCCCTCACCTGGTGTGTCTGTCCCATTATGTTTCATTGCAAGAATAAAAAAATGTACTCAATGCAAAAAGAAAATACTAATAAAAAAAATCTGTCAAGGTTTTTTAGCGCAGCGTGCATGCCCATACCCATGGGTTTGCCACATAAATATATTTTGAGGGTGTTATGGGTTGCTACATAATTATTTTGGTGACTTGGTGCATTGCCTTATGATTGCTTGTTTTGGGGAGGAAGGATAGGTAATCAGAAAAAATAAAAATTTTGTGTATACTATATTTAATGTTTTTTATATTTTTAAATGATTTGGAGTTGCCAGAACTTCATCCTACTGAATTTCATAAATTCTAGAAGTTTTATCAAATTGTTATTACTTTAAAAATTAAAAGAGATAGGGGAAAAATAAAGATAATATTTCTGATATTTTATTCATTTGCAGGTGTTACAAAATATGAAAGATGAATCCACATACATTTCTGATGTTTTAAAAGGTAAGACACAGTTAATAATATTTAACTTGTTAAAGAGTGCTATGTATGTGTGTGTGTATGTAACATAAAAACATGTAAACCAAAATACTAAGTTTAATTTTTAATAGCCGCATAATTTTCGATTTTAATTTGGATATTTCTCCTTTCCATTCTTTTCATAAGGCATCTAATTTGGAACTCATTAAATTCAAAATTTACAAGCTAAAACATTTTTCCTTTTCAAACAGGCCTCCATAAGATTATACCACTTTTTGCTGAGCTTTTTTTGCTAGTGAATCTGCCTCGTCTACTGTTTTGGAATTATATTTTAAAATGTAACAGTATCGATTTTCTTCTTAAAGTTACTTTCTTGGCTTACAAATCTGTGTCAATGAGGAAAACAAAATGCAATATAAATCTGTCATAACTGTTTTTTATCACATCTACTGGACTTCAAGTATTTCTAAAGTATGCTTCAACATCTGCACCATGATCGATTTCCTAAATTGTTGCATATATATAATTAAATTCAAAGTAAATTCAAATAGCAGTTCAATTTGTGGAACAATGGAAAAAGAAATAGTCCAAATATTGCAAAAAACACTATAAAAATTGTCAAGTAAAAAAAAAGGGAAAGGATTTATGTTTCCTGGCATATCTTTTTCAGGGAAGTGTTACATTGGAAAATGCAAAACAATAAGCCTGTATCTGAGCTAACAGATGTACAATTGACCTTTATATAAAAATTAAATCAAAGCAAATTGTGCATTCCAAGTATTCCAAAGGAAGCATGATGATAAAATTGATGAAAATAATGAAATAGTGTCATTTAAATTCAGTTTATTGCATTATTTTATGGAAATAAAATAACCTACATTTATGTAAATGTTCTTTCTAAACATTTTATGGAAATAAAATGGAGAAGGGATTCTTTTTAAATTAGGTTTGAGATTGTATAATTTTAATAAAGGATTCAAATCCTCCTTGATTTCTTTCTTCTGTTATTTAAAACAGGCAAGGATCATGCATTAAATTTATTATAGGTGCATAATTTTATATGTGATATGTAATATTGTTTGTTTATGGTTGAGTTATTACTCTAGTATACTGTTTTTGCATATATTAAAGTATAAATTCTGAATGCCTTTTACTTCTGCAGTTATCTATATATTTTTCTTTTTGTTTCTTACTAGACAAATAAAGGAGTATAATGTGAAATTTAAATAGTAAAAATGTTTCACATCAGTTATAAGGGACTTTTTTGGAATTAAAATAATTATAAAAAAATCATCACCAGACTTGTCCTACATTTGATGTTTGCTAAAGAACTTAGAACTTAGATTATTATTTTGCTGACATTTTGCTTGACATTCTGCAAGTGGGTAATTTACTCGTTTGCTATCTTCCTTGGATGTAGTGATTTCTCAGACTCTCTTTCTGAAATTGAACATTCCCATGACCTGTTGCACCTGTAGCAAGCTAATAACTTACCACTAGTAGATAAAACAGACATTAAAAGATAATGCCATTAGGGAAAGCCTATATATAGATTAATTCAAAGTTGGAAGACGTCCCCACATAGTATGGACACAAGGTCTGATTGTTTTGTGTTTAATAAAAGCACTTGCCCATAGTCATTAGAGATCTGCTATGTGTTAATAGATTCACAATTGCAATTGTAATCTAAGTAAAGTTCTGCTAAAAGAGATGGTGCTACCAACTTTCTCCCTCTTGTCTAGTAGGGAGAAGAATTTAAGACTGAGTCCTGACTGTTCATCTCTGACAGCAATAGTTGAAGCATCGAACTTGCCTCGCTCCAGTTGTGCAGTACAGGCTGTTTTTTTTTCTTTTTTTTTTCTTTGAATTAGCATGTGTGCTACTAACGTGGCTACCAGCCTGTGATTACTGTTTGATTATGTCAAGTGACTGGCATCTGATATATTTTTTTAATCTGCATATATGGACTAAACTAATATATGTTCTAATTTAATTAAAGTAGTGAATGTAAAAATATGCATGTTATTTTTATCCTTGCATCAACACATCTGTACAGGATGATGATCCTGCAATCTCTCTACTAGGTTAAAATGCTTAGTATCATAACTGATTCAAGCGCTTTTATTCAGAATTTTATAACATTCTTGTCATTGATTCGAATAGTTTTTTTAAAAGAAAATTTCATAACCAAAAGAGAATGCATTGCATACAAAACTGTTTTTATTTATAAAAGAGGAGTTCAGAATATCCTATGATTCTTAAAGGAATGAAGGCACAGGTATTTAAATATTCTGCGCAGCTAAATATCTCTTGAGAGTGGTTGTTCATAGACACATAGTTCCAGTTTAAAAAATGATCAAATAAGGTAATCTTTCAATCTGAAATCACTTTGATCACATGGTATTTTCTATTAAAAATATATAAAATTAAAATTTGTATGAGCCTTCTGTGAAGAAAATGTATTTGCTAAGTTGTTCTTCATCATGCTTATGGTCTTTTAGAAAAAATCCTCGTTCATAATATGCAAAAATTAGTCTTGGAAAATTGTAGAATTTACATAAATTATTTTCATCCAAGAATTTTTTAAAATTAAATTTATTGAATACCAAATTTCAAATTTTGGTTTCTCTCTTAATAGTTATTCAAAACCAGTATTTCTAAAATAATGTCGTCCTGACATAAAAAGTATCTTCTCAAAATTTTCTTTTAAACTTTGACATATAAAGCTGTGTAAAGATATTTTGCAAGTTGCTAAAATAAATTATTATATTTTGTATAATAATGATCTTAATTATAACAAAAAAATATAATGCAATTTTAAAGTTGCTCAAATAAATTATTATATTTCATATAATAATGAAATTAATTGTAATTTGAGTAATCTTGGTTATATGAGACTGAATATTTTTGACTTGAATAATATGGTTGTAAGAAATATTTATTTCATCAGTGCATTTCTCCTGCAAGGCCCAAGTATATCTTTAGTATCCTGTACCACCTGTTGAAGAATGTTTAGTAATGCAATCTTTTTGAAACATTATTATGTTTAGGAATATGTTACAAGAGGAAAACTTTCTAGTGTGTGGTTATGCATTTTTATTAACAACTTCATGCATGTGATTATAAATACATTTTTTTCCAACAAGAATATAGAATTAGTTCTTGTTGTTGGAGGAGAGGCATGAAACTCATTATTTTTCCAGTCTTCATTAAACGAATGAGATGTTGTAGATAGATGAAAAAGACAAACACTGCAACAAACATTTTTTTGAAGTCAAATGTTTAAGAAATAGTTTTAGTTAGTTCACATATGTGTATTACAGTATGATAATAGTTACAATTGATCATGACAAAAAAATCTCGAACTTTTTTTTTAAAAAAAGAAAATGTATTTGTTAATTATGACATATAGTGACCATGTCTCCAATGGCTTTGAAATTTTTATTTTTGGAGTCAAAATATAAATAGCAAATAAATCTTATATATATATATTTGTGTATTTAAACATAAAATTTCGTAAGCTTTTCGAGCTACTTTTATATAAACGTTTAAAAAGATCTATTTTCTTACATGCAATATGAATAAATATATATTTTAGTGCTGAAATGCATGATTTCTTATAAAAAGCTTATGTATTTGTGAATTTTTGTCTTATATATTATTATGTATTGTTTGTATGTAGTTTATTTAAGAATGAAAACATATATCATTAAAATGTTAGAGTAGTTGATATTTTTTTAAAAATACAGTAAAGTGTTGCTGTGGAATGCGATTTTATATATATCCACTATCTCACTTAAACGTCATTTAATTTGTCTGATATGAGAATTTCAATTATACAAGGTATGCTGTAGAATGTTCTCTTTAATAAATGGTTTGAAAATTTATTCCTTAAAGATGCCATTACTTAGAAAAGCAAAACCATTAAAGTTCACCTAATTTTAATCTATTTATTATTCTTGATAATGCTCCAGGACAGAGTACTGAACCTATACCACAACAGAATATGATTGCAATTAATGGGTCCCCCCCCCACTATAATAAAAAAAATAAATCAGGTGTTCACTTAACCTTTGTGCTTCTTTCCTGAGTAGAAGTAAAAGCTCTAAAAAAGGGGAGTTTGGACTAACCCATTTTTTTTCATAGAAAGTAACTTTACCATACATGCAATGTGTTAATGATGTAACCTCTGTGTTCATCAAGGGTTTTCTGTGTGTCCACATTGATGAATAGAATTTTTTTTCTTTATATTTGGCTTCTTGCATGTAATTGTATTTATATAATGCTAATTATATATTCATTTTTTTTCTTTTTTAGCTGAAGAAAATGAGAATTATACAATTATTTTGAAATCTTATAAGAACATTCCAAATCAGGAAACATAACATTTGTTGAAATTTTATGAGAATTGTTTTGGAGGTTGTATATTTTTTAGTGCCAATATAAAAAGATTTTATTTAATTGCTGTATTTCAGCAATTTTTATGATAAATTTTATTGTTAAAATTCATTTTAAATGTGTTGTTGTATTTACTTTTGATAAATAAATATTTTTTAAATCAGTGTCTTTTGAAAATTTGTAGCTACTTTTTTTTTTTTTTTTTTGGTTTGCTTTAAAGTTCAAAAAAATATGATAGGATTTTTATTCATGTATATTATATATATTATCACACCATTTTCTGCAGTGGAACTCCTGAAGATAAATGTGATCTCAATTGCTACCATTTCAAGTTTCTGGTATAATAATGCAAAAAAACTTTGTTTACTGTGCTTGCTGCTACTTAAAATTACCATCACTCAATTTCTGCTGCAGATAAGGATCACTAATATCTAATAGGAAATGTTAAGTATAAAAAATAAGGAGCTTCATCTGTTGAGCTAGTGTCAGAAATAAAGAGTTTCACTTGTTGAGCAAAGAGTTGAAAGAGAAATAATTAAAACAAGAGTTTCAGTTGATAAAATTGAAATTGAATATATAAAGAAACTATAATTTACAAAGAGATCTCCAAACCCATTTGCTGCTAAAGTTAAGGTACAGATATTCTTGACTTTGTGAATGTTCTTTTAATGCTATTTCACTTTTATGAAAGACTATGTTAACAACTTTTGTTAGTTAATGAAAGAAATCTTAAATTTTTGCTTTACAAGAGGAATACAGAAAAAAACTGAAAACGTTCAGTTTTTATATTATGCCATCTGAAAGCATATTTGTTTAAAATTTTTTGTGTTACCTTTATTTATTAAATATGATGGTCTTTGCACTGAAAACACGTAAAATTCAATTCAGCAGCAATATCACAAAATATTTAAAAACAGTATATCTTTAGTGTTTCCGATACACAGTCTCACTCATTGGAGATAAAAATGTTTCTTTCCATACAGTGTTGCCATTTCTTGCTTTGAAATCATTGAATTTGTTAATAAAAAATTCATTCAAGTTTTACAAAATTTGAAACAGATAATAAAACAAATTCGAAATTCAAATTCGGGCTTCCAAGTACTTATGTTCAGTTGGAAGACTGCGTTATTAAAAATTTGATGGCTCTAGGTTACGTTTTTTCACAGTGCGAGAAACATTCATGCAGATTGTTCATTATTTAGTTTCTCTAAATTAAGAACCGAATTGATAGAATGAGAAATACATCTCTAATGAAATTCGAGAAAGTAAGTTTAAATGAAGTGCAGCCAAAAATGCATATAATTTAAATAGGCCATACAAAGAAGTCATGTGATGTCCACATTGCAAATTTTATTGACATTAATGACTAAATCGCCTGCCATTTAGCCTAAAAGTAACTTGTCGAACTATCGAATTACTTGGAGATTTTTCCACCTTTAGCTCTTATTAAATCTAAATATCATTCAATGCTGGAAAATTTGAGGAAGTGTTATGTCCATTATTGTCAAATATTGCACCAAGATTTAATTTGTTATACAGCAAGAAACAAGCACATCCATTTAACTAATTTTTGTGTACCTGAAACAAATTCTAAACTACTTATTTTAATATATACAGTGACTCCCAAAAGTGTTCTTACACTTATGATTTTCATTGAAATAGGGCTCTATACATTAATTAAAAGTAAACTTTCTGAATGAGATTTTAATAAAAAGATCTATAATCTATTCGTAATAAAATTACATGAAATATTTTTTAAATATAGCGAAACTTTATTTTTAAGAAATTAATAATAAAAAAATGACAAACATTTTTATCTCTCAAAAGTCTTCATACACTTAAAAAAAATCTTGACATATTAGTAAATATTTTCATTTATCGTTCAATTAATATTTAGTAGGATATCCTTTAGCATCCACAACAGCTTTTAAAACGTCTGGGAATAGATTTATTAGTTTTTTTTTTTTTTTTTTGTAATTTTTGTATCAATGTTTATCCATTCTTCCACTATGACTGTTTTGAGTTCGCTTTTCATTTTGATGTCGTGTTTTCGTACTTGAACCTCCAGTTCTTTCCAGATGTGTTCTATGGGGTTTAAATCTGGTGACTGAGGTGGTGTTTTTAAAACCTGTGGACAATTACAGAGATACCACAGGCGAACATTGAGAGCCGCATGCTTAGGATCGTTATCATGATTAAAAAACAAGTTGTTTCCGATACCCAAATTTTGGGCTGATAATTTTAAATTGTCTCTTAAAATATTTAAATAAAGAAAATGATTCATTATGCCATCAATAAATACCAAATTACCTAGTCCTGATGCTGCCATGCACCCCCACACAAGAACACCTCCATTGCCATGCTCGGAATGAAAAATGTTAAATTTGCTTTCGTCAGCAAATAGGACATTATCCCAGTATGTTTTGTGTGTATTTATCATTGATTTTTGAGAATGAAAGCCTAAGATTTCTGTTTTTCTCACTAACAAAACAATTTTTACGGGCAGAACGCCCATGTAATCCAGCTTCTCTGAGAACTAATCTAACAGTTTCGGGTGAAATTGAAGTAGAAAACTTTGCATTAAATTCTGCAGAAACTTTTACAGCACTTAAACGTGGGTTTTACACAAATTTTCTAATAATAAATCTCTCATCACGTTTAGTTAACTTTCTCGGTCGACCTTTTCTTACTTTGTTTTCAATCCAATTTTCTTCTTTAAAGCGTTTTATCACATACTGCACCGTAGCATGGGATAAATTAACTAATTTAGTGATATTTCGAATTGATATACCACTACTATGGTGTAAAATTATCAGTTTTTGAATGCTGCTCGTAATTTCTTTACGACTGCGACCCATTTTTCAATAATAAAATAGAATATTATGAAGTAAAATATAAAAAATTAAAGCAAACAATTTTTTAAATGCCACCACAATGCAAATATTTAAAAAAGCAACAAACGATAATTCAAATTTTGATTTTATCCAAAAATATTTCAGCGTACGAAGATTTTTGTGAGATAAAATGTTTGTCATTTTTTTATTATTAATTTCTTAAAAATAAAGTTTCGCTATATTTTAAAAATATTTCATGTAATTTTGTTACGAATAGATTATAGATCTTATTATAAAATCTCATTCAAAAAGTTGACTTTTGATTAATGGATAGAACCCAATTTCAATGAAAATCATAAGTGTACGAACACTTTTGGGTGGCCACTGTATATTGCTTACCAAAGAAATAAATTACTTAATATTAATTAAAATTAATTTTTATTTGTTTATTTTATATTTAAAAATTTAGGGTCGTGAAAAAATCTCTATGATAAATAGGGTCATGAGTTTAAAATTTTAAAAAGCGCTGATCCAGATGACAGTTTTTGCATTTTTATGAACATTTTTACCATTACTGTAATCAATAAAATATGTTTCTATAGCCACAAATTACGTGCCTCGTTACAGAACAGTTGTTTTAATAATTTCGTATTGCATGGATAGCATAGTATACGAAATCCTGAAACTACAATTACACCTTCCAGTTACGAAATTGTTGCTAGAGGCACTGTTAATTAAAATTATGCCATTTATGCAGGAGAAAACATACTGTGTTTTGGAATACGCCAAAACATTATCGTTTATCGTCGTTCAGAGACCTTTATTTTTAAGCAATGGCGGACCCTCAGCCGACTTCGGCTTGGCCACTATTAAGGCCAAAAGAGGTGGTTACTTTATTTTGGAGGCACCTAATAGGTGGGCCACCTTTGCCTCCTATGAAGAGATGGACAGTTACAACCATGCCTTCTCTGGGATTCGAACCCTTTGGTATTGCAGTTGGTTCCCCTAACCACTAACACAACTGTTGGGTTGGACCTAACCACGGTCTGGGCGGCCGTTCAAAGACCTTTATGCAGGAAAATTTGGTAAAGAACCAGCTTCGTCACAGTATCGAACGGTGGCTGAAGCAGTTTCAGGACACGGACTGCTTGTGTAAGCCCAGGACGAACAGCGCCCAAAGCTGATGTGGTTGAAAAATTCGTGAAACATTTTTACAGTGTCCACAAAATCAACGCGTCATACGTTCTGAAGTCAATGTACCTCACGTAACGGTGTGGTATGTGTGACGGAAACGTCTTCAATTCTAGCCATACACATTTCAGATGGTGCAGGCATTAAACAAAAACCTTCCGACTTACCGTTGCATAAAGCTTTCTGTGAGAATTTTCAAGACAAATTAGAGGTAGATGGTTTCGCAAACAGACTTGTGTTCACGGATGGAGCCACTTTTAACGTTTCTGGTGAAGTTATCGGCATAATTTATGATTTTCGGGCACAAAAAATCCACTAGGTGCAATGGAACTTTGGCGTGATTCTCCAAAAGGTAAACGTTTTCTCTCCACGCCATCTCCAACAGTTGTGTTTTTGGTCCTTTATCGATTAACGTGTGTATTTACGAAGATATGTTATCAAAATGGTTGTTCCCTCAGTTGCAGGAAGCCGTTCTCGGTTTCAATCTAGAGCAAGACGGTGCCTCACCACACTGGCTGCCATTATTTGTTGTCCATCAAGATCACCAGATCTGGACCCTTGTGATTTTTTCCTAGGGAAAATTGTCCAAGAGAAAGTGTTCGTGTCACCATTTCGTCAGAACTTACAGCAACTGAAGCAGCGGAGAATTGAAGTGCTTGAACCTTTGGCAAAGGATATTCTATCGCAAGTGTGGCAGGAATTGGAATATTACAGATATTTGCCGTGCCACCGAAGGGGCAGACTTAGAACATCTATAGAGACTAAATTATAAATTTAAATTTATCAAAATTAAGTAATTAACAGGTATTTTACGTTTGCGATATAGTAATTATAAAAATGCTTAAGTAAATAATTTATAATTAAACAGAAAATACCCTAATTAAATTATTAACTCTTTCGCATCGAGAAAGGGCAAAATCTCAATTCCCCAAACATCGAAAACGCCCGTATCTAAGAATTTCTCCTGGAATGCTTTTCCTTCCCCCATGTCAACTTGTTAATAGCCTTACTTAAGTAAAGCATTAAATAGCCTTACTTAAGTAAAGCGTTAAATAGCCTTACTTAAGTAAAGCGAGAACTTTTTTCTTCGACGCTTTGACACTGTGTGAAGTTCCCCCTTGGGACGGGATTGCAACTTCGG